CAATTAAGTTAGAGACATGGATCTGATGTGTTGATAAAATATAGCTGTTTAATTCTAAAGAGTGACCAAAACAGAACTTCTCCTTACGATACCAAGACAAGATCAAGCAGACAAATTCTTACCAAATTCTCCAAACTAACATCATAAGAATTGTATGGTAGACAGTAAGGAGAATCACTGATGAGATCTTGGGATCAAAAGGTGTGATAATCAATTTGAATCAGTCAAGGCACAAGCATGGTAAAGGTACAAGGTGAGATATATGCTTTAGCCACTACTTTTTTCTCCCTGTTTTTCTTGCCTGCTTTTTCAATCGTTTTTGCTTAAGAGCTTCCACCAAAACAGTACTTAAAGGTCACTCTGAAATTAGCCGAGCTGTATGAAACCCAAGAATGCTTTCATTCTTGTTTAGAGCTCACAACTTACCATTCCTAATGGCTGGAGAAACAGCAACATATAAAAAGAGAAAAAGGTAAAAGTCAAAGTTGCCCATGTGAAGTCCCACACTGGTTCCAAAACAAATGGACCTGTTACAAGAAAATAAGGAAGAAAGGAGAAAAAAGATGGTCAGTTTTTAACTTACTGTAAGAATTGAAAACATTTTTGGCCATCCATCAAATTTAAGCCCAACCCTTGTGAGTGACCGGCTTATTATTTCTCCCTGGAGTATCACCCTTGTATCAAACATTTCTATTATCAGAATAGAGGCAATGACCACCAACTAAGGAATTTCTTGGTTGTTAAACAATTTCTCCTTTCCAGCACCTTAGAGAGAACAGTATTGAGAATATGCATACTGATGTTCGGTTGTAAAAGGTTACAAGTGATGAGTAATTCCTCCAAAAAGTGTCCTTGACATTTAACAATCTGAACTGTATGTCCCTACCCTTGCTATAAAATTAAACTTCCAAACCAACATTAAAACTATGAATAGCTCACACAGAGGAAGTAGTAATGAATGACATTTATTGGGTCATAAACACATTTTCCTTAACCCTTTCACTCCCAGATCAAATTTTTAATTCTCCTTTCTCTCAACCATACAATTCTTTTAATGTAAGTTCAGAGAATTTAGTATTGGATCGCCTAATTATCCCCAAATTGATATTTTTCTTTAGTCTCATCACTTATCTAGTTGATATTGTATAGATACTTTTAGCAGAAATTCTATCTCAGTCACTTGTGGGAGTTAAAGGGTTAAATCCCAGAAGTGATTCACAAGTTACTTCTCACTATAATTTCCACACATTGTCCAGCAAACAGGTAATGAGAAAACTCAAACTTATCAGGAAGAAGTTGTTATCTTGATCTAACAGCAAATTCTCATACTTTATTTTCAAGGAAATGTGTCACATTTAGATGGGAGAATTAACAATCAGATCTTGAGAGTTGAAGGGTTAAAGAGTGTTACAAGTCAGGTAACAAAAGGCACATACCTTGAAGGGAAACAAGAAAAAAAGGCACAACAATGAGAATAAGGGTGTGCTGTATCCAATAAGTTGCAACTTCAAATGGTAACTGAAAGTAACATTTTATTTTTTAAAACTGGAAAACATTTTCTTTGTTCAACTGCATGTGCTTCCTACTTGTTAGTACCAAATGTAACCTAATTTAATAAAAAATTTGGAAGGAGTCCATGATACCAGGTTTTGTTGAATGTTAATCAGCAGACTGAGATGAGAGAAGAAAAAATTTAAGTTGAAGAAATTATAACACAATGTTCATGTCAATAAGTTGAAATCTTTGAGTTGTTTGTACTTTATATAGTACTGAGCAGCAATTTTTCACATCACAAGACAATCCTGAAATTTACCAAGGAAAATAAATTAAAACCATACTTGTTTCATTAAAGTACTTCTGTCAACTTACCAATCTAGTATTGACAACAGGAAACAGGATTGCTTGAAGAGCACCAAATAATAAGTAATTGTGAATCCTATGACCAAGGAAAGGAATTTTCACCTATACTTGTTCCTAACTTTGAGACAAAGAGCAAAGTTTGATGCAAAGTTCACAGACTGTTAAGTTCATCATGGGAAAAAAGGAAGTTTACATTGTGTAATTTATCAATTTTGCCATTGATAAAAACAAAATGTCTTTGCAGAAAAGAGGTCTGGCAAGTTACCCATGAGCCTGAGTGGACGGCTTTTGACAAAAATTCTCAACTTGCTCAAAAGATAATGCTGTAAAAATGATAAGAATGCAGCCTATTTCATTAGAGATCAGCAAAAAAATCTGAAGATCTCAGTATCTATTATGCACCTACTACTGATCATTCAGGGGAGGAGGGGGGGGGGCACATAACTTTTCCCAAAGCAAGGCAATAGAAGAGTTTCTTCTCCTGCCAAGGTAAAACAATTTGTTCAAATCTCCTATTACATTTCCATAAAAGGGTCATTTGTCACTACCTCCCATACCAATGATGAAATGAGTAATCATTTACCAGTTTTGGGTACTTACCTAAAAACCCATAAGACACGTTTACTTGGAGGTTCAACTAATAGATATATCTAGGGGAAAAAATAAATGAATCTTGAGCATGCTTTCATGCAGCCAAACTTGGTGATTTAATTATGGTTAGAATGAATTTTGTACAAAATAACTTTACACGTATTTGACGATTTAGACCAGAGGTAACAGAGGTGTACTTAATGAAAAACTACAGAAATTAAAGGTCACACTCCAAACATAGTCTGTCTGAAAGATTTCCAAATATCCCAATAGCAGTTAAAAACAAAGCCTTAGTCTCAAAAGTAGTCTACTGTTTGAGTCATTGTGTTCTTTTACCAAAGATCTGTCTCAGCATCATGAAGTATGGGCAATAAACAGGACTAAGCCCGTTCCTTTACCCATCACCTTACCTCTGGTGAAAGTAGGGCTGACTTTTGGGCAAAACAGACCCTCTCCCCCGCTCCTTCTCAGCTTAACTAGAAAACTTAACAGTGATCACGCAATGTAGGAAAGTGTGGCTCGTACTGAATTTACTCCAATCGATAACTCTCAAGTTTATTAAACTTGCTTTCTCTTTTCATTTGTAGTTCCAAAACTCTTACACTGTCATTTCTCAAGTTCCTTCTGACGTGAACCAAAAAAAAACAACCCGGCGATTTGGCCTGGCCTTCTGGAAGCTTTATGTGACAAAAATCGATTAATTTTCTACCTTAATTTCAGTCATATCCAACAACAACAAAAAAGATACACTCATATCGAACTCCACTTATGTAGAAGCAGTTCTAGGTTAGATGTCAAATTTGCTGAGGTAAATTTCATTCTAAAAGTATCTCAGTCTCCAATTACAGCAAATAGCGGAAATCAAACAACGATTTTCACTAAAAAAATTAAAATGCTCAAGTCCTTCTTGAGATCCGTCGGCAAATTGCGATCAATTCTATTCATTGTTTTCCCGTCTAGAAAGATGCAAAGGAGTAGGTGACAACAAGACACAAATCTTACCTGAATCGCTGTTATAACATGACAAGGATTGAGGAGGAAAATAACCTGCTTGGTGGCAAATTTGAAACCAATTTCTATCCCAAACACGAGGCAGTGTACGACCAAAAGAAGTCTTTTACCAACTCCACTACCTTCTCTGTACGCCGGCAAATCTTCTGGTACAGAAACTTTCCCTAACATTTTCCAGAACACCAAGATAGTAAAGAGTTCGTATACTACAGTTTCCACAACTCTCTGCCCCAGAGGCAAGAACTCGGCGCATTCTTTACCCCCGTTTCCGGGCAAAGTGAAGTCGACACCTCCATACAAAACATCAGTAACGTATTTCACGTCTATCATTCTGATAAATTTGATCAAAGAAAGCCTGATCGTTGCGAAGAACTGCTTAACATTATCTATTTACACATTCATTATTTATCTCGGCCAAAAAAACCGGCGCAGCTTGCTAGTCTAACTTGCTTGGTAACCGAACCAATAATCGCGTGACCGGCAAAAAAAACAATCTGTCACAGGAGGGTAAGGGGGTGGGAAGGGGGTGTACGGCTATACCGCATGCTTGGGGTGATCCGGATTGAGAGCGTTTTTTCAACATTGCTTTAGCTGTAGATTTGAGAAGGGCACTACATCTGCACCAAAAATGGACAGGAGTGAAAAGAAGCCAAGAGAAATGGAGAATCCCAAGAGCCCTATTATAACGGCTTGCAACTGTGCCTTTCTGCCCTCAATTAAGGCCGCCCCTCAACCGAAAAAAACGATATTCAGAAAACAATTACCTCCCTCCGAATTATAGCTACCAAAATTTTCCGGTTGTTGTTTTGCTAATTGATGTTTTTTACCTGCTCTAGTAATCTAACAGTGATCAGCATCTAATTTCTCCTTTATCACTAAATCATTCCTTAAGATTAAGAGAACAAAGAAAATGATTACCAACCTGAGAAGCTTTGATTGTTAAATGACTTCTTATTGTCAGTAACAAAGGAAATAACAAGAGACGAGTATGGGGAACATGGAACACCCAAAAAAGCAACGTTTTGAATTGTTGATTGTGTCAAAGCTGACACCCTCAAAGTAAATCTGTCTAATACTGTAGCATACTATGTTCTGGCCTTGAATCAATTTCTTTTTCACAATATACCTAGGAGGAAACATACAGCTGGCCCAGATTAGAGATGTTGTTTTAAAAGCTTGAAATACATCTCATCCAGTGCCCATGCTTTCTTTCTGTGCATTCCTTGTTGGCTTGTTTGACAAGGATATTTTTAAATCCCCCCCCATTAGGAACAATCATTACACATCAACACCCTTCTGTAAGTTGTTTAAGCCCAGTGCACAGCACCCACTCTGATTCCTCCCCCAAATTAAAAGTACTTATAAGAGAAGAGTGCTGATTGTACCAAACAAGATCCAGGAATGTATTGGTTCTCTCTAACTTTGCTCTGTAACAGGTCTAGAAAACTTGTGCCGTCCTGTTGACCAATCAGATGCAAACAGAAGACAGGCATTGTTAAACCACATATGCTTCAGGGTTTTTACTTGTTCCCACTTTTACTTCTCATCTGCTCTTTGTTCTATTTCCCATGTTCTAATTGGCTAGTATGTTTGCGTTTCCTTTGGTTTTAATCATCAATTGCAATGTGCTTCATGGTCAGGGAAAAGGGCAAAATAATTTGACACAGGGGGCTGAAAAGGGGATGCTAGTCAAGTCAAACCTATATGTTTGAGTGGAGTTTGACAAACTTTGTTTTCAACTGATCAAGAGAGTAAAATAACAAATATTTTTCCTCTCTGGCTGCGAAGAAAATTGGCTGAGGATTAACACCACACTCCCAGATGACTTTAGGAAAACTTCAAAATCATTTGGTTTCACCACCCTTGTTGCGTCAGTCAAAAAATATCCAACAAATTTTTGACAAACATAATTTAATATCTCTAAAGCTTCATAAGATTCAATTTTTCACAACTCCACACTTAAAAAACATTACATTTATTTTATAATCATAAATTTCACTTTTTAGCTCTAAATTGTACTTTATTTAGCAAAGTTATCAGTTTTCTAATAAAGAATTGCTCCTCGCTATAAAATCAAAGTTAACTATCCCACACATAGTATGAACTAATCTCTCTGTTGAAGTACCTGGGGATTTCAACAAAAGGAAATAAGTTTCTAAAGAAACTGTGGTGCTGTGATGGTGGGAGAGCATAAACAATAATTTTGGTTTCATCAACTGAGTTACTAATGTAAATTAGCCATCATAAAGAGTTCAAAGCTGACATTATGAGCGTTAGCCCTTTGTCAAACCCTTTGCTCTGATGAAAGGCTAATGCTCAAAGCAATAGCTTTGAACTCTTTGCAGTGGCTAATTTTACATTATGAAATCAGTTGATAGAACCAAAATTATCTGTTTGCAATAAAAGTCTGTTACCGGCAGTCTACCACCAGCTGCAAGGCCTCTTTCCACCATCTGTCTGGTTTACAAGCAAGCTCTAGTGTTTGGGATTCACCTTGCAGCACAGCTTCCTATTAAACCATTTTCTGCTGCTTATTGAGTAAAAAGTTATTGAAACCCCAGGGTACTTGAACTCATTTAAGTTTCGAACAAATTAATATCTTAATGGTCAATAGTTTGCTGTAATTGAAGGGCTGTAACAGAACACTGTATCACAACAATTCCATTTACTTTTTATAAAAAAAGACCCTTCTGGTATAAATTGAAAGACAAATGACTTGTGATTGAGTATGCATTGAATAATCTCTTTATACAGACTCTTTTATTTTGGCTTTTGCTTAATTTTTTTCTCACTCTGATGTAATAGTTGTGGAGCTAACATAAGTATGACTTTGTCATTGACTCTACAACTCCCAAGATTCAATAAGATATTCTCCCAACTGACTACTCTACAATTTCTTGCAAATTAGACAAGAGAATTTGGGGTTATGTCAGGAGAACACTCACTATTTGCTAGCAAACTACCACATCTGATCTCATAACCTGATTACAGGATAACATATTGGAATCACAGTGAGAAAATACATATAGATCACTTTCATGAGTGGAAGAATTTAGCAGTCTTGTATTTACTGTTTGGGACCATTCAATCAGATAACTTTCATTGGACTTTGTGTTACAGGCCCTTCACCACTACATCTTACACAATTACATAAACATTCTAAGATAGTTAACAAAATACACACAACTACGTCAACAGTCTTTTGTTCAGAACTTAAACTCTACTATAGAGGAAAAAGAAAACATCTAAATGATGTTATATTTCAAGTTTTGGAGCAATTTTCAGTTGAGTATGGTAAGTAATCCTGGATTGCACAGGTTTTGGTAAACTACACTATGATTGGTTTGAAAAAACTGATGTAATCATTGCACTCAGTAGCATGAAAATACAAAACTCAGAGTAATCAAATCATACAATCATCATAAAAAGAGTCTGAAAGAAATACACATATCAGATTCAGACTTCAATCAACAAAACCACTGGCAATTTAAATAATTATATCACTCTAGAAAAATACAATTACAGTGTTCAGTTTAAGAAGGGCCTCGGTCCCTAACAAGTAACATCAGTTCCAAACATAGAAGAGAAGAAATTATTTCTGAAAGAAGTTATGAAATTTTGAGTTAACCCATGGCAAAGAATCACTAACACAGGCCCACTTATAAGGTGATTAACTACCAAGTTTGGAGCAAACACAACTGTCTCTTATTGTCATATATTCTAAAATTATTTCATATACATATCACATTGTTACCTGAATATAATATACTAGAGTTTTTTTACTCTGAGTTATTACTTTGGCCTTTCCAAGGAAAGCAAACTTTTTGCACTCTGCCTTACTTTTTTGCTCACTTTCATCACCAAAACAACCATCCCCCAACCTCCTTTGTACATAACATGTGACTGAACCCTTAACTAAATTTCTCACAACTACTGTCCAGTGATACTTTCTTCAAATAATGTACATGTGTGTTATCACATAAACCCTTCAAGTTCCAGCTGTGACCAGAAACTAATTTCTAAGAGGAGAAAAAAGACCATTACCCTTTCTCGATTGTTATTCATTCACACAGACAATCTTCTTGAGTAAGTACAAGTATTGTAATACAAGATTAATATGCAAGTTGGTAACTCATGGCACTTGAAGAGTTTCAGGTAAATTACATGTACATGTCCATCTACCAAACAGAATCACACCACGTGAAGTCTAAGAGAGTGCTATCCATCAAAGCTTGAATTAACCAGCCATACATTTGAAAACCAATTGAACAAAAAATGTATTGTCACAAGGTATGAAAATATAACTATATGACAGTGTATACTGATAATTTCTCTGTTTGGAGTTACTTTTTGCGTCTACATCTTCGTTTCTGAGATAAAACAGACTTTTTTTCTTTGGATACATTACTGGTTACTTTGAATAACTAAAGCACTTTCTTATTTACCCTCAACTATCTGTTTAAAATCCTGTAGCTCCCAAGATCTGACAACTATTAAGGTAACTATAGAGCTACTTCACTGTAATTACACAGTTTAGAAATTTGATATGATTAAAAGGATAAATATGCTTATCACTACTCAGAGGCAAAAGCTTCAAAAGTAACATACAAAAATCAAAACTCTGACTCAAACAATTACATAATTTTACAAAGACACTCTTTGCTGCTTCAACATTAAGACAATACAAACCAGCTCTACTGGTTGGGCTTGCTTTGTCACCTGTTGCTACAAGCTTTATCCAAGTATTCTTGCTGATATGGTTTGGCATTCAACATTTCTTTTGCAGTTTCTATGGGAAACCAAGACCTGGTGCGATCTGGGTGACAAAAGAAGAAAGAAAAGGTAAATATCGATGCAGCAGATGAAGCTGGTTAAAAAGAGGGACTCCTTGCAGAAAGGTCTGGTTGTGTTTTTCAGTGAAACTCTTATCTCTCATGATGGACCAGGCTGGATAAGAGCAGATAGAGGAGGAGTATCACAGCCTCAAGCATATTTGGGCTCAAAGAACATTGACAAATAGATTCTTCTGACAGACTACCAGTTGAAGCCTATACAGTTAAGTCTACTGTACCCCACTGACTAAACCTTAAAGGACTGTCTTCCTCCCTCTGTATCCAATATGAGAATGCAGAATGTACTATACAAGCTATTTGTAATATGCATCATAAAAGATTTATCAGAGCACAAAATGGTCATGCATTTAATCTTTTTTGCAACAAGATTTCAGGTACAGGGAAATGCAATAAATCTTTCTCTTAAAGAGTTTGATGGGACACACAAAACTTGATTTTATTTAGGAGAGCAAATTCAGATAGCCAGGACATCATACATCTCTACCATCACTTTTCTCATATCAATGTAAAGTTGTTCACTCTAAAATCCTGGGCAGTATATGTAGATAATGAAAATAGTGTGTTACAACACAAGTTATTGATGCAGAGCTGTGATCAAGCTTCTGCTACGAAATAAAGTGTTTGGGTTGTTAAACCTCCTGATCATTTTAACTTAAGATGCATTGTAGTTTTAAGCATTCAACCAAAGCTATTGACTTTTTTTTGGGAAAGCTTGCCAGTTTAGAGCAATTTCATTAGCAGCCTCAATTTAAAATTACACAAAGAAAGTTTCAGTTCTAGTAAAAATTTTACAAGCTTTTTGATAGCAGTTACCTCTGAAGGAAGCAAGGTCAAAACATACAACAACTTTAAGGTCAAATTTTGCACATTAGGTGTAAATAGCATCTTTATCATCATCAAATCTTAATGACATCTGCTCAATGTTTGTCTCCATGTACCTCTCCCTTAATGGCTGTGATGACTTTTTTTTAATTCTGAGTTGTTCATTATTCAAAAGCCCATGTAAATATAAATCCCTGGGTAAAGTGTCCTTTTGGTTGTACTGTTCTACTAACAGAGAGGGCATTTTGATTCACTTCTTTGCCACTAACAAAGCTGTCTTGGTCCTGAAAAACCAACATTTTTTTGTAAAACTAATGTCAGTTCATGTGAGATCCTGAAAATACTCTAATAAATTATGGCCTGAATTTGCATAACCACTCTAGAGTGTAGAGTGTGAAACTATCAACAGCCTTTGTTTGTACATTGGAATCTTTAAACTTTATAATCCCAGACTAAACATCACCTTACTGTGAAGACAACTTTAAATTCTCATCTTGACTTATAACTGAAAAGCTCTCCTTGAAAACTGATATTTGTATTTGCTTTGTGTACATTGACACCTTAAAAAATCCCATTTAGTTTTTTTTTTCTTTCAGTATGTTTTTGATAACTACATTTGATGATTTTGTACAGAATACTGACACTTATGTCCAAAAGAAAGCCACGAAACCTTTTCTCTACATTACGTAAATTTAATTGGAAAACATCAATATTGTAAAATTGTCCCACACCATTTTGTAATAAAGAAAAAGCAATTATCTTGACCTGATTGTTTTTAAATTCTAGTGGTCAAGGATTTGAATGTTCTCTATTCCCTTTCAAAACCAGCTTGTTTGAGTTCAACTAACTAACTGGATGAGAGATTTTTCATTTGTTAGACTTTATCAAATGCTCAGCAAAACAATCTGCCACAAAATGAATCAACTAAACTAAAGCAGATTGTCACTGTATTAATAATTAAACTGATAACTGGTTCTTGAATTATGAAAACTTGCCAAGCAAATGCATACTCTGAGCTAAACTGTCATGAACACAAGCTTGCAAGGTTGATATATGTGATATATATTGGTTTGACATTTTTCTATCCACATCTTTGATCGTGTTGCACTAAAACTGATCGTAAAACTGAACACATTGCATCCTTCAACTATGTTTTGGAAAGGGGTCTACAGCTAGTGAATAATAGATGACCTCTTCCTGCAAATCTAAAGGAAAAACGTCTTGTTTTGCTGATCTTTGTTCTGCACAAAACAATTGCTTAATTTGCCTTGGAGTGAATATCAAGGGATTACAAGGCATCAAGAATCGTAACATCCTATCCATGTAACACAGAAATGAAAGACGTCGGTAAGCTTTCATGACTCGACTTCTCTAACCCATCACGACGAAGGAAAACAACATTCTGTTCCGTTATTAAAAAAACCCATCGGTGGGAATCTATTATGTAGTCATCCCACAATTACCACTACGTTAAAATGAAATGAGAAATAGACTTTGGCCGATTTAAAATTAAAATTTACAACGTAACAGTCAGCTCCAAACTATTTCTACACATGCACGGTTGCAACCCTGAACATTCGATCGTAATTGGTGCAGAAAAGAGTTGTCTGAAAAACACAACCAGAGAGGTAGAGATTAAGAGGTGTGAATATGCGTAAAGTAACAATAATCTACCGTTTCTACCGCTTTTTGATCTTTGTAAACAATGAACGTCGCATCACTGGCATTAGAATACACGCGTCAGCTTACGATGTTGGTGTTTGAAGGCAATGTAGCAAGGAAAGAAATGTCATGTTAGACAAAACCCCTACCTTCTTCCCACTTATCAAGCATTTCTGTGACAATTAAGACGTAAACAGCCGTTCGAGTTTGGTTGACATCGTTCTGAAGAGAGGATGAACAAATCACAATGGAATTAGTACAAGAAGTCTATAGAAGTACGAACACGAAAATGAAGAAGGTTTAAAACGTAAAGCGATATTCAAAACAAACCTGGAATTCTCCAACAAAACGACCAAGCGTTCCACGAACTCCAGCCTGTAAAGAGAACAAGCTGATGTGGTGAGGGTTTAAAGGAAAGTAAACAAACAGAGAAAAATAGGAACTGTTTTGGTCTACTGGCTTATAAATTATCCTGTTTCGAACAGTCTGATACTAACTTCTTCTTCAACTTCCCGAACAGCAGCTTCTTTCCAGTCTTCACCACGTTCGACACCTCCAGAAGGGACCACCCATCTACCAGGATGTCGACAACTCGAAACTAACAGCACCTAAAGGATAAAACCGAGACAGGGCACTTAGAAAGATCGAGCCACAACGAGGTCGAACATTGCCATGTGCATCATAAACGAGTCAAAACCTCTTCCTCCTGCTCGCTTTTAAAACAGACACATCCAGCTCTTCTCGTGTATCCATCTTTGTCTTTAAGCCGGTTTTTTATCATTTTTTTAGGTAGAATATTGGGTTGGAAGACGACAGGACTCACTGCATTTCTCTCAGGGCAATAACCAGCAACCTCGTCGCCATGACAAGACTGCTGCTTATTCGAAGGAGGCCGCTGGCTTTATAGCATGCAGCGCTGCATTGTGGGATATATCAGCGATCGTCAATCCCGGTTTAGTCTAAAAATAGAATTTTTTTTTGCTCGCTATTTCCTCAAACTTCATCATAAATTCGCAATACGGAATTCATTGGCAAAGATGTATGCTACCCATAAATTGTTCTAAATATTGATAAGTTCGAGTTTCTCCTGGAGCTTGACAAATTTCTATGACATGACATAATTATTTCACGTGCGCTATCTTTTACTACAAAGAACTCGCCATGCGAGTAGGTCGTGACGAGACTTAGCGTTAGTGCGTGTGGTTTAGGGTTGCGGACAGGTCATCATATTATGCATCGTGTTTCTTCCTTCTCCAAGATCTCAATATTGATTCCTCCACTGTCTATTGTGAAATAGTTGGATGTTAACTTTGCCAAATTGCTTTATCATTTAAAAACATTTATTGGCTTATTCTTGTAAATTACCAGCGCCGCGTTTCTGCCGATTTGTCATTGAGCCAAAACAATAAAATAATCAGCAATGAATATCAGAACAATAGGAAATATCTGAAGGAGCCGACTGCAGCTCATGTTTTAAAAATCACGATTGACCGGAAGCGTATAAATAGTAGACATGGTAAAATACGCGTGATCAGTTCATGATTAGAGTTGGTTTTGCATAATATTATTGGTTCATAAAATGGCGCCAGTTTTCCCGACTAATCTAAGAAAGAAGTCTAGCGAAACAGATTCAATCCCGGATTTCATGCGACACGGACCCATGAGATAAAACTGTTTCTAGGATAAGGAGAAATTACTAATTGGTCTCCCAGGGGGTTAAGGGATTGCTGATCGAGGTGAACGCAAGTGGTGAGTTTTTGCTCATCGACATGAAATATAACTGTGATCAAAGTTCAACGAGCTTCCACGTCATTTTGTACAATGAATTTAATTATGGAAACTAAACGAACAGCGAAAACCAGATTATACGTCACCAAAAATCATTTTTAGATGTGGTGTTTACCTTTAAGGTGCATGGGAATCCCTCGAAAACTTTGGATCTTGAAATATATCCTACAAGTCTTTTGCGTCACGAGGCTTTGTGGGCCAATATTAGGGCCTTCTTCGTTATTAAGGGCGTATGCATTTATTGCTTCTAATTGGCAATAAAAGTGATTGCAAACATCGGTCTAGAAAAGTAGCTGAAACTTAGCTTTAAAGAATTGCTCAAATATAGGGACGAGACTTAAGATTACTCTTAAGTCTAACAGAATAAAACACTTGGTTCATTTGTGTTCTAAAGGTTTAAAATCATTCAAGAAATTTGCATAAATTGAAGTTTGCAATGAAATCGTTGACTTTTTCGTGCTTGGTAAATGCACCGCTAACAGTTGCTTCTAACGACAGAATTTGCACAAATGTTATTGAGTACATTTGGGACAGGCATATCACCGGCCTTAACGACCCAACGCAAGTTTAGTGCCGACTTCTATAGTAAATATCAGCTCCTATAGGTTGAAGATGGAGGATACAGCGATCAAGTGTCGCAGAAGGCAAAATCGTTAGACCAATTTAGACTATCAGTCCGAAGAAGAGTAAGTATCGCGAAGAATTAATGTGAATTCGAACTCAAAGTGAGCTCATGTAAAGGTTCCACTGCAGTCTCGTACAAATGCGCCTAAACAAGTTTGTTTTAACTATGCATCTGATTGGCTGAGAAAGGGGGGCGTGCTATCGGGACTGCTCAGGGGCGTATTGAAGAAAGATAATTAAATCGCTAACTATCAAAAATAACTCTGTTGTCATTTCCAGAACAAAATTATCTCAACAAAAATTTTCATTCTGTTCCTAGATAAAGTGTTTTAATACTTTGCAGATTCATAGCATTGTAACATAATTTCGGTATCTAGATTTGAATTTAGAATACCCTCCTCTAGGAAAGAGTAGTTTTCTCTTTTTTCCTTTGGCAGACAAGTTTTTGAAAAAAATTATAACAATAGCTCTATTTCATTCGAATCCTCACATAGAATCACTTGAAAAGGCCTCTTTCTAAGAGTTTCGTGAGAAAGCAAACTGCAGGGCCCAGTGCATGAAGTGGAGGCTAACTAGCTAACTGAAATTTAACATGAAAAAAGCTTAAGGGGGTAAGTTTCTAAAGTAACTGTGGTGTTGCGTCGATGGGAGAGTATAACAGGGTAATCTTGTACAATAAACTGAGTCGATAACGTAAATTGGCCACCGTAAAAAGTTTCAAAGCTGGCGTTTCGAGCGTCAGCCCTTCGTCAGAGTGAATGACGAAGGTCTAAAGCTCGAAACGTCAGCTTTGAAAATCTTAACGGTGACCAATTTACGTTATCAACTTGTTAATAATACTGAATTACCCTGAAATCTAACAAACTATATCTTCTTTTAAAACGTTGTTTCTAAAAAGTGATAAATCACAAACATATTGGAAAAAAATAATGAAAAAAATAGAAAGGAAAAGAACAAAACCAGAGAAACAACGGAAACATATATTTTTTCATTTTTAAGTTTTTTTCCGTAAAGGATGCTTAACACGCAGCAAGCCTCGACTCCGTGAACTCAATCGCCTCGACCTCGCCACAGCAAAAAAAATCGATCTGTTATATTTTCTTTCGTTTGCTGCCTAATCAATTAACAATATAAAACTATAAAATTTTGCTCCTTGTATATGAGTGTTTTGATGCAGATTATTGATTTGACAAACTTTGTCATGACCAGCTCCCAGTCGGCTTGTTAGCTCAGTTGGTAGAGCGCTGCACCGGTATCGCAGAGGTCATGGGTTCAAATCCCGTACAGGCCTGAATTTTTTTCAGGCCTTATTTTCACTACTGCCTAAGTAGTGCACATCACTGCGAAGATCACTTTCATTCATGTCAAAACTTTGTTTAGTCTCTCTCATTCATCACAGATCCATGATTCGTTCAAGGGGTTTTCAATTTCCACACAATTTATTTTTTATGAAGTGTGAGGCAATACTCATTCTACTGTCAAACTATGATGCTTTACAAGATTGCAACTCTTCCTGCAATCCCAAGATACACCAGTTGTTCGAATAATAATCAATGCATCTAATTAACGAAACTGGCAAGCGTTTCTTTCAGTGTCTATTCCCGGCCGGGGTCATGCATTAAGCTCCTTATTTATTATTTTATTTTACAATTTGCCAAAGGCAGGTAAATTTACAATAGAGGACAAGGTTGTCCCCTACTCGGTAAATTACCTTTCCCTATCCCCTAAAAACAAATAACATTGAAACCCAAACCACTTACAAGCCCCAATGCTAGGAAATAACAAAATACATAATCATTAACGAAAGAAAAAAAAAGAAAAAAACTAGTTGATTCACATGTACAAGAATTAAGCGCATTGAAACGACGACATTTTACACAAAATTTGGCCGTCGAGGATTGTGTAAACAAAAACGCATCTATTGTTACTCACGGTTCACATAAACCAAATAATATCAGTATTTTTTACTTACCGAGCAGGCGAACGCGGTGTAAGAAAGTGCACTGCTGAAGGTCGGATCGACGGCTTTCCAGAATGGTTTCTCTTCTCATTCCCAAGTTAGGTGCTTCACTTCTCAATATATTCCCACTACTACTTTGGAATTTTTATCAATGAAAAAAATTTTCCAACGAAGACGTGACTTCATCGTTTTGAGCAATACCCTTTTACACTTTGCCTTTGATCTTTCATTTGTCAAGAATTTTAAAGAGGACTCTGCCAGTTATCTCTCGATTTGATTGATGTCTGTCATGTTAACTGGCACTCAGGTTCTTTCTACGTACACATCTGTAAGTTACACCAATAAGTTTTTTTAATTTTAATGAAGTCTGTGGAAACACTCCCTAACAACAGAGCTTCCTAGAATCGGACAGGAAAGTAAAATTACGAGGCCGATTCACAATGAAAATAAGAGAAGCATACTACAGTCACACTTACAAGTAGCAAATTCTTTCCTTAGGAAGACTCTAAATCAGGAAATTATAAGTTATTTGGGAACTGACTAAGCTGCGAACATATATAGATGAATTTCGGGGCGAAAAGAAATGACCACAGGAAATGCCAGCATTCACAGCTAGGGACCCTTTAGTAAGTAATGGCTCCTGTCACAGCGCACAGTCCAGTGGGAGCTAAAATTACCCCTTGACCAGCGTGCGCAGCGGTTCAGAAACTTTAATTAAAATGGTAAAACAACTTGATTTGGGTGCACAAAACTGTTGAAGAGGGTATAGGGCGTCAAAATTTCTCTGTTCATCAAACTTCACCAGGTGGGCCCTGGTTTTATCCACCGTTATAGTAATATTTCTCTTAGCAATTTGTCACAGCTTTAAAAAAATTCTAAAAACATGAATATAGAAATTAGCAATCTCTTAGCTCTAGTAAGGACTACTTAGTGTTTATTCAAACGAAACCCATTTGTTTGTTATGTTATCTGTATTGTTGTAAAATTCTCTAAGTCAGTGTCCGCTTTGATTTACGTTGAAAAGGACGCAAGCGTTTTTGCCATCGATTTGAAGCTCCTATAGCTTCGGGTGCTTATGAGAAGCTAGCTCTCATAACATTGCTCTCGAGGTGTCAAGTGAAGAAGTCGATATTGGATTTGTTGTTTCAGTTCATTGTTTTGATGGTGGGCCAAGGGTGTAGGAGTGTGGGTTCTGCCCTTAGGTGTCATCTTAGCACGCAACTTGCTTGCGAAATCAGCCATATCGTCTACTACATAGCAGTTCATAGTTGTTCAGTTCTGTCCACACTTTATACATCCTTTGTGTTTTTCGTTGATTTTTTCATTATTTCAGTTTTGTTCGTCGGCCTTTGAAGGAGAGAAAGAACTGGACTCTAAATAACTTTTATTTCCCCGCCTCCAGCCCCGCCCCCAAACCTCTCAACCGCGGCTTCCGATTTCCGGTCCAATTTTCCTTGATCATCTCAACTCAATAAAATATTTCCTTTTCAGTCACATTTTCGGCAACTAAATCTTTGATGATATTGCTTCTCTATGTCACCCTCGAGGTTTCATAACGAACAACTGTACAACAAACGTAATTTGATCAAGAGAGGTAATAAATCGTAAAAGCTGTTTATACAAGCATATCCGGTTTACCTTCAATTGTTTTTTCCTATCTCGATGCTAATGTATTCTTTTAACGTTCTGTTCAATGCAACCGTTAGCTGTCAACCTAAGAAAATGTTAAACAAATATCTCTGCCTTGCAAACCATTTCAATCTTGTTATCTTTCCGTGCAGCGATCTAGAAATTTGCACGGAAAGCCGCATTGAGCGTTTGGTAGACCTAAATTATAATCGCCACCGATTTCTAGGCAAATGGCAATTACAGTTCGGAGAACTTTTTCCATTCCAATCATTCTAGTCTACAAACTGACTGAAGAGATCTTTGTTTCCTATTCCCTAGAGGAGGACAATAGGTTAAGACTAAATAATTTGTTTGGGAGTGCCTCTGGGGGAGTCGCTAGGGCACGGAACACCGGCAGAACACTGCTGGCCAATCAATTTCACGTGTTTACCTCACATGACGAAATAGTTAGGTGACGTCATAATCAAAAGGGAGGTTGGCGAAGAAAAGTTTGTCGTTAAGCCCAGTGACGAGTCCCGTGACATAAAGAAGGGGAATTGTACATCCCCGCATTTCCTTTCGCTTTAAATTGAATTTTTAGACTGATCTCGTTATTTATAAAGAATAATAGTGATACTGTTCGTTGTGTGTTTGTGATAATTCGTAGTCTAAGAGAGAGACTGTGCATGCATATGGCGGTGATGCCTGTTACAAAACAAGATTTTGTCTCGTTGGAACCGTTTGTTCATCAAGTCGGAGGGCATTCCTCCATGATGAAATTTGACGATGTTTCTGTCTGTAAGCCTCTGTATCAACGAGAGCATCGCTTTTATGAGGAACTTCCCCCAGAAATGCATCCTTTCACTCCGGAGTATCGAGGTAAGCCAAGTTCTCAACAACTGTTTTTATCGTCCTCACGCATGTAGAAATTTGAATTTTCAAACGTTAGTGGTTATCTCCTGTGTTTCTTCTAATCCCCATTATATGTTCTCTATTCTCAATTTTTCTCTTAAACATGGTTGTCGTCTATTATTGTCCAGATTTTGTCGTTCTAACCATGAAGACATTTGCGACAATACTTGAGTTGAGATCGATGTATTGATGTCGATGGATATAGGACCGAAACATACAGTGCAGTTCAGCCACATTGTTGTAATGCTGCCATAAGCTTGTATTTGATCATCTAAAAATCTGCAATGAATTGGAGATAGCAAGTGTGTATTTAATTGACAGAAATTACCGTGCTATCGATCCGCGGAACTGTGATACTTTTTTGCCCAGATGGCGTTAGCTTGCTTTTGTTTTGATCTTTGTCCTGTCAACAATTTTTACTCCATGCCAGAAAGCTACCAGGCATTTCTTTGCAACATGATAAGCATGTTAGTCAACATAAGCTCAACCGGTTGATCAAGGCTATTGCGTTGTTGTATTTACGTTTTGTGTTCGCAGTAAAATCCGGCATTTTTTGCTGCTTATCGTGGCAACTAAGTTTGCAATAACGAAGAGAAGTGAGTTGCTGGCAGTTTTACTCAACCATAACTTTGATTGCTAATAATCCTTTAAATCGTTTCAGTCTTTTGTTCGGTTTTTGCGATCCTAAAATCATCTAAATTGCCTGCAAGTTGTTGAAAAGAAAAGAAAAAAAAATGACGGCGCAGATCTAAGTGTTGGTTGCAAAGCGATTTTGTTTTGAATATTACATAACATCGGTGTCTTAATCATCCTGATTTCGACTGATTCTGCACTAAATTATTTCCACGACATCCTCAAAGCCGACAAGAAATAGAATTAAGGACTGTGAAGCTCAAGAAGATGCTCGTCTAAGCTCGTTTTCCTTCAGATAGCAAAATTTTTATCAACTAGATCGATAGGCATTGATTTCTCAGTATAATTTGATATTTTTTCGTGTTTATGTGCTTAAAAATATTACCACCTCTGCAACGATAGGCTTATTTAATTTCTTATTAAAATATAGTTAATTTGTCAGTTACTTTGCTGGATTTTTATAGAAAAACTTTTTCGAAATTAATGCATGGTATGAACTAAACTGCTCTTGTCTAAAATATGTCCTCCTTGCCAAGTTCTCTGGCTGTTGCTGCCAATCTCACAAAACCTGAGTGAATGATTGAGTGACTGATTGTTTTCCTCGTCACAAAGAAATAACAATTATTGCACAGTCAAGGTTAATGGAATTCTTATTTGTGCACTGGATTATGAGACTCGTGATTTGGATAATCATTTTGCAAGATTATTGATGAATTTTTGAAGGAGCGCAGTTGATTTGATATTTCTAGCTGGTAATGTTTTTCAAGCAAAGAGCGACAGTATGATAATGTCCAACTTGCAACTGTATTTCAAGCTCAGCTTCGTCAAAGCTTAAACAACCTGATTCCTTTTTTAAACATTCTGTTAGTAGGCATCTTCTCGGCTGTAAATGTGGGAAAACTTTGTATACTTGGATCAGTTTGTTGTAGTTCTGTAGATAAGAAGATGAATGATGTAATACCAAAAAATGCTTGCTACTAGTATGGAAAAATTCTTAAAACTTCATCAAATGTAGCTCTTTTCATATCATGAAAAATTTTATCAGATAGATTGAGATGTAGTCTTCATGCAAAGGGCCTAATAATGTTTTCAGTTTTGTGGTTATTGACAATTTTAATTGTGGTTTCACAAAATTTTGAGTGGTTTTGTTTCATTCTATGTTTTTGAATATTTAAGTACACTGTTTGGCAATAATTTCTCGGCAGTTTTTCAGTTTCCAGCAGGTCCAATCACCCACCTCCATAGTGTCTCTGTGTCTTAAAATATGAACATGATGATGGAGATCTGATTTTCCTTTTGCTTAAATTATCCACTCTTCAGTTGAAGAGTTAATACTACTAGGGTATGAATAGTTGATATATGACATTATGCTGTGTTCATTGAATTTCATGGACTTAGATATTTTTTCATACTCAAAACTACCAATGCCACTCTTTCCGCACTGCTTTTAGCTCCTCAATTTTGTAATTGCTTCTGTTTTTTTCTGTGGTCAGTTCTAGTTATGTAAGGTGATTTGATAAAAAGATGAAGATGCAGCAGAAAATTAGGATGTGAAAACTCTCAATTACAATCAAGGCTCAGTTTTGTTATTTTTCATTCCTTGAAATATCTGATAAGTACTTAAAGTGTATGAAATTAAAATTTAAATCTTCCAATAACACACAGTTTGGGATGTTTTGTCTGGAACCATTTAACTTGTGATCTAAGATATAAGGATTGGAATTTGAAATGCGTACACGTAACCAGATGGTTTAATGCAAATACTGATTACAATGCATTCTCCCATGTCTTTGGTCATTTTTGAAATTTCTAAAAAGTGACTGCAAGGAAACTAACCTTTCTACTACTAATGCTAATATTCTCAAAAACAGAGGAGTAATCTTTGGGTTTCTCTTTATGAAGTAATGAAACTCTTCTCAATTTTAGAAAGATTGTAGCGGAAAAAATATAAAAGGAGGACAAAAATTCAAATTGTGTTCTTGATATTCTGTGTTAGTTCTACGCTCATGTAATTATGACTGTGATTTATTGAAAAACTTGCTGCTCAGGAACTTTGCTGCCACAGCTACTTTGAAGATTCTTCTACTTGAACTGCTGCATAGAAGATGATTTGTTTTAGATCGACAAGACACTAAACTTGGGAACAGACATAATATCCTTTCCCACAATATCCGCCTGCTGTGAACATTCTTATCATTTTGCAGGGGTTCAAGACAGGGGGCATTTAATAGGTATAGAGTTATTGAAAAAAACTTGTTTATTTTGTGTCACTCAGGTTTAAAGAACACGATATGCATAGATTTCTGTTTTGGAAAACCTTCGGTTTTGAACCCTTTAACTCCTAGAGGTGATCAACTTGAAACTCCTACCTATAATATCATTACATTATCCAGCAAATAGGTAATGAGAATATTCAAACTTATCAGGTAGAAGTTGTTATCGTAATCTTACACCAAATTCTCATATCTAATTTACAAGGATATGTGTAGCAGCTAGAGGGGAGAATTAACAATTAGATCTTGAGAGTTAAAGAGTTAATTGGAAAATAGTGCATGGTTTCAAATTGAGGTACGTTTTGTTCTGAAATTCTTCTTAGCCAAATATAATAATATTATGTTCTAACCATCTGCAGAGCAATAAAATATTTTCCCTTTGCCTTTGTGTTTGTTTAAGTCTACCAATGAAGAGGGCTTTTATAGAATCTACTAGCTTTAGACCAGGCTTTTGATTTTATACAATGAAGCAATTTTACATAATACAATTACATCATTGGGGAACAACTGCATAAGTTATTCAGAAAAAAAAAAGTAGCACAATTTGAGAGGAAAAAAACAATGAGTTTTCAATTTACAGTGTTCCAAAAATCATTTTTATTTTTAATTATTTTCATTATTATGTTACTTTTCTGTATTGGGGCTAGAACACAAGTAAAATGTGCTATTTTAGTGCACTTTTGAACGGGGCAAAATTTTGGATGATTTCATTTATGTTTTATTCGTGTTTCACCCATGCCAAGGGGCTGATACAATGCTCAGATGAGGCCCTAGGATCTATTTTGAAATCTTTAGAAGCCCAAATATTAAATGAGAAGTAATACTGGAATAGTGAACCCCTTTGTCACTGGTTCAGTATATAATTTGAGTGTAAATTTTGCTCATTGTTCATATCTCATTGTTCTTATGTGACTCAGAAAATTACCTGGCAACTTGTAAAATAAAATTGCTCAATTATGTACTCTGTGTTAAACAATAGAGTAAGATTTGTGCCATTATTTACCTAAGAAAAGTATGTTAAATGGCAAGTGAAACCTTCATTCCCAGTTTGTGATCTTTGCCAGCCACTTTGATTATTTCAAAAACAAGTTCTGGTAGCTGTTGGAAGAAGGTTATCTTTGTTAAGTAAAAGTTACTCAATAAGTGTGTTCCTATGGTATGATATGCACTGGAATAAATCACATGGTTGTTTTTCTTTTTAATCACACTCCACTCAAATGCCAGTCTTATTGAGAAGGTCTTAACCCTTTAACTTCCATAAGTGACCAAAATAGAATTTCTCCCTACATTATCATTACAATATCAAGCAGACAAGTGATGAGAATGAAGAAAAGTATCAACTTGAGAATAATTAGTTGGTCCAAACCAAATTCTCCAAACTAACATAAGTCAGAATTGTATGGCAGACAGTAAAGAGAATTGCAAATGAGATCCTAGGAGTGAAAAGGTAAAAGCATTTAGGGTGCCTCCACTTTTCTTGGAAACCTTGTCATAAAAAACTACTCATGAGTGGAACTCTCTTTTTTTCATTCAAGGAGTTGTATATGTAAGCATTGAAGAAGATGAGGATGGTTATATTAATTTGACAGCTCACCCAGACAAGTTGGCATTAGAATGTCAAAATAAAGATGGTTCTTCCAAATTCAGCTGTAGTACAACTAGTAGTTCCTCAGACAGTGACAGCAGTGGAGAGGATTTGATAGGATCACCACAACAACGACCACCAAGATTTGGCTTAGTTAGATCAGTAGAGACAGGTCCATACAGGTATTCAAAGTAGTATAATGTTACTATTGACTTGAGATTAACTTTTGTTTAATATAATTTTAGTGGTAAACATCTGAAATTAAACCTTTAACTTTCAGAATGCTAAGTACCAAAAATGGCTCTTTTTAGAGCCAGTAAAGTTCTATTCTTGCACATTTTTATTTTCAAAGTTATTTTGAATTTGGTACATAGACTTATAAATTTTCAATGACTAGTGTTAAGTTACGCAAATTTGCAGCTCATTTTACACACATTCTTGCAGGTAAGCTGCACAAAAATTTTGGGGAAAAAAGAGCAGCTTTTTTGTGGGTATTTATGGCACTTGCTGAAAATGGTGAAAATTTAATAATCACTCAGTCTCTATTGAATGCCCCCTTGACCAAGCACCCACTCGTAAGGTTCAAAAATTTAGTAAGCACCTAGGGTGCTTGATCAATTAAATATCATATGGTAAGCAGTTGTTTTCAGTCTGCTGACCATGACCTAAGGTCACCATTAAACAAGCTTTATAAGTACATTTTACACTCATCATCAACCTTGAAAAGATTTGAAGCAACATACAACAGTCATCACTTATTGACATTGGTATAAACATTTGATATGATACTCCTAAATGACAAAGTACTCATACAACTGGCTGTAAATTTGTGTTTGTTTCTGCAGGGTGCGACTTCGAAGTGGAAAGCTGGAACTCGTAAGCACTAGGAAGGATGGATTCTTTGATGCAGGAGATGTGACTGATCACTCTTCAGGTCAATAGTTATTATTTTCTTATATGGTGCTGTGGAACCTTGTTATCTGGCCACTGATGTGTTCTTGAAAATTTGGTGACTAAATGAGAGAGAAGCCTTATTGGCAACTGAGAAGCAGCTTACTGCAGTGAGCACTGTCTAGTTTTGGCCACTATTGACTGGCTGAATGACAAGGTTCCATAGCATGTGCAGTGGAAGCAAAACAGTAATTTTAAAAATGTGCTTTCCTGTTGTTTTGGGTGCAGATTGTAAATATGTAAAGATTTTTAAATGTGCTGGGAAGTTTGCAAAATTTTACTTGGGATTTGAAAGATTTGCGAGTGGAAATACATCATCCATCATCATCATCAACTTAAAAAAACCACAATGGTTCGTGATTTGGCTCTCCTGCTCTTCTACACAAGCTATGCAAATATACCTTGCTTGTCTCAGACAAATTTACTACCATATAGTAGCAGCTGGTCTGGGGTGCAGGGAAGGCATTGGTGGTTGTCAGTAGAAACAACTGTTTGCTTTACTTCTTTAGATCATGCCTCCCACGGGTGGCCTGAGAATGAAATCTTCACAAGCTCCTATACTGGAAGGAACAACATTAATGGTAGTAACTTGATGCCATTTCACCTTCTCACTCCCAAGATCTAAAAATCATTTCTCCACACTGTCTTTTGTACATTACCTATGAGTTAGGCTCGGAGAATATGGCATTTAATCAAACAGTATCCCCTCATTGATATTTTTTCTTCTTTCTAATCACCATTCTGCTAGAAAATGTACTCATATTGTTAGGATAAGCTTCTTTTTGGTGGCTCGTGGGAGTGAAAGGGTTAATAGGTAATTCCCCCTAATTTAAGGGTGGGTTTATAGCTTAGCCAAGTAATATGCAGTGTTTGTTGTGATTTATACGTCAGGAAAAAAAGAGACTTTTGGACCTAATTATTAAACCGATTAATATGGCATACAAGTTTTAACGAGAAATCTGAAGTGATATTTTAACTTCAAAAAATTTGAGTCTACCCAGGAAAGTTTGGCCACTCAAGGACTGAAGTCCTATCATACTTTAATTAGGAAAAAATGTTTTTGGAAAGCTTAATTTTACAGTAATTGCAGTCACTGTATTTCATCCTGCTGTAGTTATTGTGACTCAATGTTACTGTGAACATTTACTCTCAAATCTGTTGCATCCTAAGGTCTCTTATTTCTTGAAAATTGTGATCCATAATGCAATGACAGGGAAGGGCATCACCAAAAGTTGAGCAATGACTGTCTCTTTAGGTTACTCTTTTCTTTAACTTTCAGGGAGTGCAGGTGCAAATCCTTGGAGTTTGCATTGTCATAGGGAAGAGGTGAACAAAATGAGAAAATTGGGCCCATCATCTAAAGTACACAGTATCCTTTAACAAATACAAAGTTATATTCTTAGCTGAAGAGTGAGTTCTGACCATGAATTGAAGCCATGAGAGAAAGTCTCCTATCCAGACATATACAGTATACATGTCTATTTTTTTTCAAGCTTGGCTCATATTTGTGATATAATAGTATACACGATGACCATTCCAACACTATCATAACAACATGAAAAATAAAAATTTTGCACTGTATTGATGTTGATGTTGATGTTGATGTAGTTATAATGTTGATATACTGTATCTGCATGTTCATGTTATTAACTTACAACACATAAACTTCCTTATGCCATGTTGTTATGCCATTCTGTAGTTAGTGCGAACCATGCTAATGTTACTCTGTCGTTGTTATTATGTTGCCTTTATGTTCTTATGCACTAATACTCACAGTTCTTTGCAACAACATTGTGACCTTCCTATGTTGGTAGACATGTTTATGCCCACCTGTCATGTAATCACTGGTGTGATGACCATGCTAATGCAATCACTTTGATTTAAAAAGAGCCCGTGATTGTTCCCTGAACAAATTGAAAATGCAGTTACTCTTTTGCAACTCTATTAGTCTGGTTACATTGTTGACAACACCACTGCCTCATTTTCCTTATTAAATTTTTTTGATATTCAATTGCTGCAGCTCTTTCTTTTGTTATAAATTTACTGTTAATAAATCTTGACTGAACTTAGAATACATTGTTTTGGAAAATGTGGCGTACCAATTTTCTTATCCTTGTATTCTGGACTTAAAAATGGGAACTCGGCAACATGGAGATGATGCAACAGGTGAAAAAAAAGTCAGAATTATGGCCAAAGTAGAAAAATCTACATCTAAAACTCTTGGTATAAGAGCGTGTGGCATGCAGGTGAGTTTTGTAATTTGTTTTAAGCACAGTGACATATTTGTTGACTGAAAAGTAGTTTGGCCTCACCAGTGAGAGTCAAATCATATTGATGTACATGTAATGTTCTTGAATCTACCATTGTGTTTTGAGAGCAAAATTGAAAACTAAATGAACTTCAGCAGTCATTCATCCATCCATTCGTAGTTGTACTCCAAGTGCAAACTTGTAGTCAAAGGAGCTAGTGGTACCATGCAGATAACTAAGTTTCAAAGTTGAACATAAGATTTGTTTCAGCCAGTTTTGTGTGACAGCTGGCACCAAATATCAGTTGCCCTTTTCTTGGTTGGATGCGTGAATAACACGTGTCTTATCATATTTCATTCAAAGACAATGTGTCCCCTTTTTCAACTGTTAGCATTCATGGAAATATGGTAACTTGATTTGCAACTTGTAATTTTTTTCTCTGTTTCAAGGTGTACAAAAAGAATTCAGGAAAATTTATGTGTCGCAACAAATACCATGGACTTAAGCTGCATGAGGAAGGCTTCAAACAGGAATTGATAACTTTCCTGCACAATGGACTACAGTTTAGAACAGAGCTAATAGAACCTTTGCTTCAGAGGCTTCGGAAGTTGTACAAAGTGATTGAGAAGCAACACTCATACCGTTTCTACTCAAGCTCCTTGTTGTTAATGTACGAAGGAGACATGGAAAATACAGGTGAAACAACAAACAGTTGTAGTTGTTCTACAAAAGAGAGAGAAAAAGGCCAAAGCAATCAGGAGACACTCAACAGCAATAACAGCTGTAGTAATTTAAACAATATCTGTCAGTGCTTCAGTCATCGCTGCAAAGTGGATGTCCGAATGATTGACTTTGCACACACAACACACAGTGGGTTCTCTGGGGACCGTACGCGTAGCGGACCTGACACAGGCTACTTGTTTGGGCTCGAGAACTTGATAAGACTTCTAGAGGAAATCCAAGAAAAATACCATGATTCTCTAGACACCAGTCTTGATCCTAGTCCATAACAATCCTTATTAAAGTTCCAATATGAGAATATCAGCAAAACTCCTTAATCCTAATTAATGTTAAATCCCTGCCCCTAATTTGTTGCGTTTGTGAGTGGCTTCCTGATCCCCTCTCTCAGTGTTAACTTTTGCAGTCCTAACCCCATCCCTGGTGAGGCTGCTTATGTTCATATTCTGGCACCTGTCTTTGGTATATTTTAGTGCATGTAGGTTTGGACCAAAAAGACCAAATTTTGTTGAATGCTGGTAGTAGGTGCGGAATCACTTGATATGCAGAGGAAAACTATTTTATAAGGTTATGGTCTATACATCGAATGTGAAAAATGATCATATATTCTGCAAGATTTTATCCATGTGCATAACATTTCTTGGTGTGACTGGCCAGATAGGAAAACTAGGAAAATACTTGTGATGAAATAAAAAAATTATCTATTTATAGCAATGCACAAAATCATTTTTTAATAATTCAGTTGAAATTAAAGCTTATGAAAACAAAATGGAATATTCATATTAGTAAGTATACATTTACTTAAAGAATAATACTTGTTTTGATTCACCAAAAGAATCTTTGCACAAGGGAACTTAGCAATACCTTTTCTATATTCTGTTCATTAAGAAGAAGAGATGTTGTGCTTTCATTAAAGTGGCAATTCTCAGTTTATAGAATATATTGTCAAAAACTATGAAAGTGGAAGTGGTGAATGTTACAATACCACTGTTATAACTGGGGTCACTTACTAAATTACCCTTAACCTATCATATTGTGCAGGACAAATAATGATTCCAGCTGAATTTAATTGTGACACACAGTGTCTTGGATCAAAATTTTGGGATTCATTGCTCCTGTTGTAGAATCAAATCACTCGGTTTTGTGTAAGTGCCTTTTTGTAACAGCAGTTGCACTGTAAACATGGAAATTATTCTTAATTTTAAGTGGATCAATCATGTAATCTCCAGGCTCTTTAATTCCCAAGGATTTTAACATTATTATTGCTAATTATTTCAGATTATATGGGGTTACAGCAAACATGGGTTCCTTTTTGCTGTTTATGACAACTTAGTTCATATGAATTAAAGAGAAACCTATCATAAGTATTTATTTGTCGTTATTTTGCACAAATTAAAATGGAGTAACGGAGTTAACAAATGTTTAATCTCAATCTGTGAAATACTTGTTATTTTACTATTGCACAGTGATTCCTCAACTTAATAATGAAAAATTAGGTCTGTGTTTTGGTAAAATAATGGTAATATTTATTGACATTGCGATGCGACGTAGAGAAAACCGTCATTGGTCTTGTCTTGCATGGTAGAACCAATTTTTTTTCTACCAATTGTAAATACACCTATGTTTTAGGGACATTGTACATGTTAAGGAGAAGCAAATCTAAGAAATTTAAAGACACTGGAAAATTATTTTATAGTTTAAGCTTGAGGTTGGATTTAAAACCACCTGGAGTATCTATGGTGAGATTTTACCGAATGACTAAATTTTATTTAATTTTCTTGAAACTTTCATTTGAATATGCTAAAGGCTTCATCTTGGGTGCACTGATTTCTCCAAGGAATGAGAAATATTTAGTTTCCCCCATAATATTAATACATTATTCTGCAAACTTGTTGTGAGAATACTCAAACTTATCACCAAATTCTCGTATCTGATTTATAAGGAAATTTGTAGCAGCTAGAGGGGAGAATTATCAATCAGCTCTTGATCTCAACAGCCACAACAGAAAAAGGACCTTGCTTGATTGCGCCATTGCAGTAAGCCACCCCGTAGATCATTGGTCAGTAAAGTTGTACTGGGTGTTAGATCATAAACTTGTGAATTTCTAATTGACCTTGTAAGGTGTACATCAATTAGCAATTACTTAAACTGCATCTCCTCATACACTGTATGGAGTTAATTTCGATATGAGTGGAAGTGAGGGGAAGATGTCTTCGATTATGAATAATTGTTAATTACAGTATAGGAGGCTATCTCGCTGTAAATATCTGTCCACAAAATAGAACACGGCACTAGTCGAACACATTTAGGTGAACGTCTGGTTAGTTGTGGTCTATCATTAAATGCCGTATTTCTTCGAGTAAGCGCCCGGACGCTTATTTAAAATTTCGGCGAAAAGGAGGGGCCCGTGTAAGAAGGAGGGGGCGTCCTCTAGTGAGACGCTTGTTATTCTCCTGTGATGAGTCTGTTGCGGTCGAAGCTAACAAAGTCCTAAATAGTGTGGCAATAGAAACAGGAGGAGGGGGAAGGGAGCGTTTGTTTAATATTCTGGTTTAGCGGGCGGATGCTTGGTCGGGGGAGGGAGTTCATTTGAGCATGGGCTCCTATTCGAGGAAATATGGTAATTACGATTCGAGAGTGAAGTCGCTAAAGGAGATTATTTATAACTGGATCACGGAATAATGCAATTCGAGAGTTTTTATTGGCTTAACTATCATGGGTTATAAGCTATTATATCGAGCTCGCGCATGAAGACTGGCTAAACTGAAAGTGTTTTTGTTCATTGTAACATTGTAACATAATCCTACAAAATAAAGTGGGGAAGATTTATCGATATTTTGGGAATTTTTAAATCCAGATAGAATATTGTCTTTAGTTGCAATATATTTTTCAGTTTCGTATTTTATTTGGAGTTTAAATCTAAAACCATTGACAGATGGAGATAATTTAGTCTCTCTGCAATCCCATAATGAATATCTACTAATTATAATCAAATGTATAAGGACGGTCTCCGGCGAAATTTCTATCTCTCGATAATTTTTGTGAATCCAAATTTTAGGTTTCTCGCGGGTGCGTTGTAGGTTACATGACAGATCTAGCTGCCACTCGTGTTTTCTACTTGGTGACGTTTCTGTTTTCAAACCTTGAATATTCCATGTTTAACTTTGTGCCAGCTACAAAATATAATGGCAAGCTGCGGAAAATCTTGAACAAATCTTCTTAACGGAAAAAGTTCTGTATTTTATGTACAATGACGAATGGGAGTTTGGCACCATAATCTCCTCGCTGGAAACCCGATGAAGAGTTGTACAGATCATTCTCGCATGGCAGGAAATCGTGCGCTCCGTCGCAAAAATTCGCCAATGATGCAAGGTGGATTTCCAGTGTCGCAATTTTTTTTCCATACGTAAAACGTGGGTAAGCAATTTCCACTAACGCGTAAAAATCAATACCACGCGTTTTTTGGGATGCGAATTTAGCAACATTTACGCTCTAAGTGCTGTATAATTTTAAATTTAGCGGCAACTTTGAGTAGGCGAAGTTTAGAATGGCAGACACAATAATTAAGCGTTTACTTTCTTTCTCTGTACCTACGTTAAAGCCGAAAAAGAAGACAAAAAAACAGAAAGAAACATTGGGTGAAAGTTATATTTCAGAACTGTTATGTAGTCAGTGAATACTATATCATAGTGAAAGAAATGCGTTTTAATAGAATTAGCAGGTGGTAAGTCCAAAATGTCTTCGTTTCTATATTTATCGAAGACTGGACGCAAATCTGGGGTACTCAAGAGCACGCAGTAGTGAAATCCAAGCACATGCAGTCTTCGCACGATTATCAGACTTACTTCACGTGGCATATTTGGATTTGCCACGTGATAGGCTTGTGAACAGAATTTGAAAAGTCTGTGTAAGATGTTATCCCCTCCTTCACCAGGTCTTGCAACCTCGCATGAAACTCTTGAACTTACAAATGCGCTCTAGAACCTCAACAGCGATTTGAGAATGAACTTAAACGACCTCGAATTTTTTCACTCAGGCCTCGACGGAGCGCCTAAAAAATTTTCGTTGAAATGTCATGATGTCAGAAACAGTTTACTCTCTTGCGTTTTCCGCGAAAAAGTTTCACATAAATCACCCTTTTGTGTATCGAATTTTGGGTTAAACCTTTAGCAAGATGTGGTTTTTCACTGTGACATTGCACTTAAGACACAAGGTCTTCCCTCTCTCTCTCTCGCTCTCTCTCTCTCCCCCGGGAAGTTTACAGGTGAGCCTCGATTTCGTGTAATCGATCCAGTTTTCCAGGCTCACGTACAAGGCACGTTAAAACCGCGTTTGCTATCAGCCGCTTGCCTGTTTCTGATCCGACTGTGGCTAATAGTCGCCAACATTTGGGTTTTGCCGTATTCAATAACCGATCATCCTTTATTTCTGTCTTTATCCAATTGAAGTCAATCGCTAAATGTTTTACAGGTCATCATCGGACGTGACACTATCTAATCTTTGGAAGTACCTCATTTAAATGTCTAATGGCTCGGATTCCGGACGTAAAATGACAAATAGATATACATAGGTGTTTTGGATTCATTATGCCTCAGAAGACCTTCGTTTATGCTGCTTAACAGTGAATATCTCAAAAAGGCTATGTAAACACTGAAAAAAAAAACGAAGTTAGAAAGATGGCTTATTAATGGTATTGATTCAATAAAAATTTCTCTAAAAGTTAGAGCTATGAAAAACTTGAATAAGACCCTGAATCATAAAGAATATTCTATGAAAATAACAAAAAGCAATTAACACTGAAACAAAAGCAATCAGAAACATATGCTTGTTTATCTTAAGCTTTTTACTGTACAAACACAGTGTTCTTCATTTCTTGAAAGCTAATTTTGGTCATCAAATGTAACTATTCAAAAGGGCCCCGCCAATACTTTTAAATGAAGGCGTCTTCAGTTAATGGCCGAAACTATATTGATTTTGGAAAGGCAGCCGCTCATTCTTAGTGATACATTCCCGCCAAAAGGAGAAAAGCAAAGCGGAGAACAATTAACAACCGCGGATTAGTTTATACACTCAGACATATGTTTGTTTTGAAAGAAAACCGAGTTTCCGCCTCAAGCAAAGATAGTTAAACAACAAATTAAAATCATGCGTGGTGTTTTTAAAATAAACTGCGCAATACATGATGAGTTCAGAAATATATTGTTGAAGAGCACAAGCACATAGTGTCCTTAATCAGGTTTTGTTATATATTCGAGTGCTTCGCGAATCTTGGAATTGTCTTTTCAGCCTCTGTTTTACAGAAGAAACAAGTTGGTTGTATTCATCTATTTCCTTTATTTTCAATACGTAATTTTTATCAAATCCAATTCTCATTTGCGCGATTTTCTAGCAATTTACCTCGTCTGTACTTTTTTTCCTTACAGAACATCTGGAGTGTCCGGAAGAAAAGAATTCCGGAACAACTCGCACCACGAGACAATGAGCTTGCTACAAAACGAAAGTTTGGTAATAGAAAAGAACTGTTCCGATTCAAATGCTAACAATTTGAAAACGGCTCTTCACGCCAGTGTAATCATCTTGATAATGACTCTTATAGTTCTTGGAAATCTTATGGTGCTTATCGTAACTTTTCGCCAAAGAAGCCGTCCCAGCGTGCGAGTGGCAAACATGTTCATCGCCAATCTCGCTGTTGTGGACCTCTCCGTTGCAGTATTACTGTTTCCCTTTTCCGTTGTGACGATTCTACTTCGTCGATGGGCCTTTGGAGAGGCGTTATGTCAGTTCAATGGCGCCACTAATATGATTGCGGGTGCAGCTTCCATCCTGACAATGGCGGTTATCAGCTTTGACAGGTATGAAACTGTTTCTTTGAGGAGATGAGGAGAACAGGCTTGTAATTTCAATCTCTTTAGGTACATTTGAACGAGATCCCAAAGAGATATCTCTTCGTAGATGGTTATACATTCAGCTTTCGGTTTTTAGGGATAAGATGATCATGTTAGGAGACTCAATTAGACGTGTAAAGCTTTTATTTAAGTAATCTCATTTTTAGTTTTTTAGCCAATTTTGGAAAACTCTTGAGGATATAGGAATAGCTAGCGAAATTTTCTGTTGTGAGTTTGACGAGACAGCGGAAAGAAACATTCCCGGGAAACTAGATTTCTTGAATCTGAAAGTGAGGAATCTTTTTTTGCAAGCGTGATGCTGTCTTACCTACAACTTTCAGTGACAAGATTAGGTGTTTATTTCATTTTTTTTTTCACTCATATTCCGACTGTTCTCACTCCAGGTATCGTGCAATAGTTTCGCCACCGGGCAGTAAGGTCACCCCTAAACAGGCCTGGGTACTACTAGCCGTAATATGGGCGTGGTCGATCACCATTGGCGTTCTTCCAGTTCTTGGTTGGAACCAATACGCACATAGCTCTCTGAACACCATGTGCAAGATTTCGTTCAGCGAGGGACGCGGCTACATCCTTTTGGTGATAATTAGCTGTTTTGTGATGCCATTATTAGCAATGTTCTACTGCTATCTGCGAATTTTCTTCAAAGTGCGTTTCCACAAGAAGCAAGTTCAAAGATGGAGTGACAGCAGACAATCACAGAAAAATTTTAGGCGCGAAACGAAGACAGCGCAAGTGGTTTTCACGGTGCTTTTCGTTTTTGTTGTGTGTTGGACCCCGTTTGTCATTGTGCATTTTCTGCAGTCACTTCCAACGATAAGCATTTCACGCGTTATTTTTCATTCAGTAACGCTTGTAGCAGGCGTGCATTCGGTCTGCAACCCAATCATCTATACCACGATGAACAGAGCGTTTCGTAACGAGTTGCGCCAAGTATGTCAGTGCGTTGTTTGTGGGCGCGTCAAATGCTGCGGCGGTGATAACCTTGTACAGCCCTTTAGTTTGGAAACTAGTTTCACACAAAGATCATAAAAAAAATATACCTCTTTGTTGCCAAGCTTACCGCTGCTACACGACAGCGAAGTTGAACAGCTTATTGCAATCGTTTTGATGGAGACATAACGCAATACAAACACAATCAAGTGAAGAAAGCAACGCTATGAGGTGACATTGCCATTATGAGATGGAGTGTTTTTCTCTCGACTAGACCTCCCCAACACTAAATGTGGGGGAACAGTACATGGGGGTGTGTGTGTGTGTGTGTGTGGGGAGGGGGGGGGCAAGGTTCTTCCACAAAACGGGCCTAACATGTTTTGACTGAAAAGTAGGGATGGTAAGTTTTTGAGCTCGGTGAAGAATTAAGAAAGATGTTTTTTTCGTCTTGTCACGAGCGTGGGACAAAGAAAAATTCTGATTCCCCATGAGGAATCGAACCTCAGACCTTCGGATTTGCGCTCCGATGCTCTACCACTGAGCCACAAAGACCCTTCGGTGAGTGGTGTCTATAACGAAGTTCTAATGACACGCGGCCCGCATACTGCTAGGATCAGCAAGGTCGATAGCGTAATGTTTTTAACAGAAAAAACATTACTGTTCTAGAGGAGGGTGGGGGAAGAAAGGGATGGAGCTGCTTCATGATCGATTATGTAATCCAGAAGCTAAAACAATATTGATGAAAATATCATAACAATTAGGGAGACTTCTTCGCAATGCTTTAAAAAAAATAGGTCATTTCGAGGCATTGTAATGTAATAAATACCTCTCGAGCTTACTTATTATATGTTTGACTAAAATTGAATCAAATCAAAATGAGATTAACAAAAGTGTAAAGCTAGGTTGTTTTCGCTTTCCTTCTATTGGGGGGAGAGGTGAGAGGGTATGGGGGAGGGGGATGAAATTGTAGCGAGAAGTTTAGCATTGCTTTCGCTGCTCATTTTCGAGATTATCATAATAGCTAGCCACACAGGTCAGTTGGTGGTCATCTTAGAGAGGCAATTTCACTGAATGAGCAAGTAGCTACTTTCTAATGCGAGTTACAGGCTCAAAATTTATATATTTTTAAAACATTCCCACAAACAAGTTTCATTTTTCAAGGATTGCTTCAAAATATTTCCTCTAAAAACTCTGTCCACGGGGAAAAAGGACAATAATTTCCTCAAAAAATCTTCTCTGTTCTTTAACTGGCTTGCTGGTTTACGGGTAAAATGATCCATTAAAGAGAACTATTCAAAGACAAGAAATTTGGTGACACAACGTCAGCAATTTAGTTTACCTATGAAAGCTCGCCCTAGATGCTCCATCTTATGCACGTTATAATTGAATAATTATGCGCTCAAATGAAATATAACAACTATTTATTTCAGCATCTAAGTCTGCAAACTATGAAATACATTATAAACAACGCTCAAGCTTTTAACTATGGCGAGATCCGCTACATGCATTTTATCAATGTTTACCTATAAAATCCGGTTACTAAGAACAATGAATTCCAAAACCAGGTTTCTAAAAATAGCAAAATTGTAAAAAGTACCATACACCCATGTAAACACTGCGTCAACAACCAAACAAGATGCATCAAAATATATTAATCTCCCATATTAAGAGTGGGATCAAAACCTTACGAATTATACATCATAACGTATAGGGAAAAAATACGAAATATCATGCCATTTCAAATAAATTTTGATGAATTTTTTAGAAGTCAAAATGACTTTGGAGATGAAATGATTAAATAAAGCTTGCATTGAAAATTTCAAATTGACGAAGAAAGTAGATAAATTATATCTTTCAGCTAATAATGATTAAAAGACATTTGTCAGATGGAAGTAAAAATCAAGATAAACGTCTGTTTTTTCAAAAAATTTTTGTTGTTCCTAAAGAACCACAAAACCTATGACAACTTCCCCGAAAAAAACTAATTTCAAAAGCCCTCACAACATAAAATGGTTTACGTTAAACTTGCTCCAATCGGGCGGGACAAAGATACCTTTCTCTCGGCTATGTCTTGCAATACGATGATTTTACCGCGCTTGAAAAGGCTTACGATTTTAACAGATTCTTAATTCTGATGCGTTCACCCCGCTAAAATTATATGGGCCCCAGGCTCACGAAATTAACATAAAAAGCGTCTCACTATGTACACTTTTTTAAAAAAAGCATAATTTAAAGATAATAATTAGAGTTCCTGTCCCAGCCTCCTCTGCTGCCATAACCACGAGGCGTGGTTATCTTTCCTTCAGCGTAGGCTAAGTCTTCTGACACACTGGTCACACTTGTCATCGTCCTCTGGTTTACCTCGACTTCTTCGTTGAATTTTCGCACGTGATTCGTGGTACTTCGTCTGTCCGTCGTGGACTCGGTACGGGACTCTGTACGGCTCTCATTGACTCGTGAATGGGTCCGTGTTAGAACAAACGACGTCATACCATTTGCTATCTCATTTTCCCCGTAGGATCTGACAATCAGAGGTGCATCTTTGGAGAACACTTCATCAGGAGTCGACGCTTCGTCCTCTACAGGCTTTGCTTGCACCTCTATGACTGGTTCCTCAAATGTTGCACTCAAGTCCTTTTCAGGTCTGATGAAGGCAGAACGAGGACTGCTTTGCGTCACAGGAGCAGACATTTTGCGATTCAGCGGCTCGTGCTCTAATTTCGGCGATCCAGGCTGACTACTTGGGGCTTTTCCAATGTCCATAGCAAGAGTTGAAGTTTTCCTGCCACGCCCTTGAATAGAGACATTATCAACTGGTTTTCGGCTTCTTCGTACCTCAAAGCTCGTTTCGTAGGTGGGTTTGACTTCTACTCTAGCAATTTCTGATCTGGCCTGTAGGTCTTTCAGCCTTCTTTCACTTCGCTGTTGATCTTCTTGAGCCAAAAAGAGATCTTTCTTCAGTCTTTCGATCTCGAGCTCCAACGTGACGCATTTCTTTTCAAGCATGCCAATCTTGTCATCCTTTTCGTCGCAGCTCTTCTTCATTAGCTCCAGGTCTGTCTTCATTGTGCGTAGATCTTTCTCAAAACGAATGATCTGTTCCTGTTTACTTACTATCTCTTTATTGGCCTTGTCCAAATGGTGCTGCTGGTTTTGGCTGTCTTTAGCTGCTCTCTGGAGTTCTGTTTCTAGCTCCGATATCCTGACCTGACTTGAAATAAGATCATTGTTGGCCTGTTGTAATCCATCAGTGCTGTCTTTGTAGACTGTCTCTACATTATCCAGCTGATCCTTCACCGACCGAAGCTCGTATTGTAGATTGTTTCTTTCTCTTCGAAGAGCGTCTTTCTCACCCTCGATTTCGTCGTATCTCAACTTGAGAGATTCTATCTCTCCACGAAGCTCGTCTTCGCTTACGTACCTAGTTTGCTTCTGCTGGTTCAACTCAAACTTCAGTTGGTCAATCTCCCGTTGAAGTGTATTACACTCGTTTTTCTTGTTCTGCAACTCGCGTCTAAGAGCGTCCAACTCTTTGTCCATAGTAATGACCCTGGTTTTGAACTGCTCAATTACCGTCTCCTTCTCAATAATTTCTCGCCTGAACACTTCACTTTTGGTGTGAATCTCAGTAACTTGCCTGGTTACTTCTTTGGAAGCCTCCTCGTTCTTGTTGCGAGAATCTACCAGTTGTAATCTGAGGCTGTCTTTCTCCTTGTTTGAGTCTTCAAGCTGTGATTCTAGCCTTGCAATCGTTGAACGCTGTGAGTTGATTTCATATTCCATGGCTGACCTATCTTTATGACTTGTTTTCTTGCTGTCTCCAAGCTCCTCTAGCTTCCGCTGCAAGTCTAAGATTTCTTGATCTGATTGTGCGTTTCTTTCGCGACTACTTGCGTAACTAGCTTGCAATTCTGCAATGCGTTGCTGATAAACAATAATTTCCTCTTTAAACTGTGCCGCCTTATCCTCTGCCTTATGGTATGCATCTTGAAGACTTTCCAATCGCTCGCGGGTCGATTTAAGCTCGTGCTCCAAGCTTGAATTCTTCGTATGAGCCTCCAAGACTTCATTCTGCAATTCATTTTCTCTTTCTTTACTCCTTCTCAAGGCAGCATCTGATGATGAGCTCCACCCACCGGAAGGTGCAGTTCGTTTTTTGAGCAACTCGTAATCAGCCTCCAGTTTAAGAAGCCTCCTCTGCGTGTCTTCCAGGTCGTCTCCTAAGGTGCGTTTTTCATTTTCAGCTGTACCCAACAGTGCTTCTATCTCAATTAGTTTCTTTTGAAGCTTATCAATATCATTTTGAAGCCGCATTTTTTCCGAGATCAAACCTTGGTTTGTTGCCTCCAGGCTGTTAATGGTCTTCTGCATTGACGAGACTTTATCTTCCAGTCGAAGTTTCTCTTGTTCTAGACCTTCACTCTTGTCTTTCCACGTCACTATTTTCCGATTTAGTCCCGAAACTTCACGAGCCAAACGTTCGCACTCTCCTCGTAAAGCTTCTATTTCAAAGTCAGTCTCAGGTGCAGCGTCGACAGTGCTTTGTTCCACCACAGTGACGCTATCCCTCTGCAAAGTGTTATAACTAAATTGAAGCTCAGACAGCTGTACTTGCAAAGCTTGCAACTCTGACTTAAGCCTCTCGTTTTCGTCTCTGAGTAGCGAGTATGAGGCGTCGAGCTCCGAATTGTGCAGTTGCAGTTTCTGATTTTCGTATTGTAACCCCCTTTTATCGCTTAGGGCTCTTTCCAGATCGGACCTTGCAGTAGAAAGATCTGCTTTGGTGGCATTTAGATCACTCTGCAGAGCGTCGTAGTCGTTCCGCAGACGGTCAATTCTATAGTCCCTCTCTGACAACTCACGCTGCAGGTCATCTACCTCTTGCTGAAGCTCCAACAACTTCTTCTGTAGATTTGTAATCTCATCCCTCAACTCCTCATTCCTTGCTCTCATTTCTTCTAAAGTACCTCTCAGCTGAGCCTGCCGTTTGAGCTCCTCTTGAAGTTCTTCCTCCAATGTATGTATCCTAGCTTTGGCATCTTGGAGGTCTCTCTGAGCATCATTTTTGCTTTGAACAGCTGCATCTAGAGCGGTCTGCAGTTCTGAAACCTTCTTGTAGCTATCCATCAGTTCTCGTTGTTTGTCATCAAGAGCTTCTTGGGCGTTAGCCAAGGTTGCCTCAGTTTTTGCTAGTGCCTCCTGTCCTTCGACGAGATCGATGTTCAGATCGCGAATCTTTTCATCATATGCTTTGTTGAATGTTTCAAGGCGAGCGATTTTGTTCTTAGCCGCTTGTAGCTCTTGTTCTAGGGAGGTAACCTTTTTATGCCAGGACAAAATCTCGTCTTTTCCAAACTGGTCTTTCTCTTCCATGGCGTGTATGACATCTTCTAGTTCTTTTATGCGATTGGTTCGCCAGCTAACCTCGTACTCCAACGACTCTTTTGCGCGATTGCAATCACCAAAATCCTGTTCCATCTTTGATAGCCTCTTCCTGATCAAGTCCAATTCGTTCTCTGTGTCTTCTTTTTCTTGAGTAATCTGCTGCAGTTGCGACTGGAGATCGACAACTTTCTTTTGCAGGGCAGCGTCCCCTTTGATTCTTGCCTTCTCGCTCTCGATGCTAATGAAGCTGCTGTGGATTTCTTGGTATTTCCTTTGAATAACGTTAAACTCGTTCTGCAGTTTCTTCTTGTCACGATCTAATGCTTCGACTTTGCCTTTTAACTCAGCATTGAGTTTCTTCAAGAAGGCGATTTCATTCTTCAGATCATTTCTTTCGTCCTCCAGGGCCTCGTTGCGCGTTTCTAGGTGAGTGACTCTGTTGTTTGAAGAGAGCAGGTCAGTCTGTAACTTCTCCAGATCTTTCTTTGCCCCTTGATAATAATTTTTATACTCAGTTGTTGACGCTCTACATGCCGCGATCTCCTGTGATAACTTATCGTTGTCACGGCGGAGTGATCTTATGGTGTTTTCCAGGCTGCCGATTGTGGATTCTTTTTCTCGAATTGTGACGTTTAGCTCTGTGACTTCCTGATATCCTTTGTCAAATTCATCGTTGAAATGGCCAATCTTTGCTTTCAGTGAATTAATTTCACCCTCTAGGGAACTGTTAACTGACTTCAGGACCTCAACTTGCCCATTCTTATCGCTCACTTCTTTTCGCAGAGCCTCCAGTGTGTTTTTATACTCTGTGTTCTTCCTTGATAGTACATCGTAATCTTCTTTCCTTCTGGCCGCATTATCTCGGGCATCATGTAGCTCTGCTTTCATGTTGGCATTTTCTTTCAGTACTCTCTGTATTTCTTCCTCCAATTCGGCTATTTTATTGCTGTAACCAATAAGGTCGTTGTGCATTTCTTCATTTTCCAGTAAGGTAGATTTGAGACGCAGTTCGTAGTTTGCTATCTGCTTTTTCATTGCAAACGCATCACCGTCACTTACGTCCTTCTTTCTCAAAGCATCGCTGATAGAGCCATGCATGCTCGCCAGTTCGTCCCTCCCAACTTGTAAATTCCTCTCTAAGGTCTTTTTCTCACTTCTCAATTCTTGAATGAGAGCGTCTTTGCCGCCGACTTCCTTCGTGTGCTGATCCCATAAGGTCTGGTACTCTACTAATTTCCGCTGCACTCGCAAAAGTTCTTCATCGTTTTTACTTAACTTAGCGATTTCTCCCTCTTTCTCGAGTTCCATTTTAGACCTAGCTTTTTGTTCCTTATCCAAGAGCAGTTCCAGTTGGGTGATCCTGGTGTTTGCTTCGTTCAGATGGTGATTCAGGGCGTCTACTTCGTTCATCGCAGTCTCGTATCCCTCCTTCAAAGGCGCCAACTCTTTTTGAGTAGCGTACAAATCGTGCTCTAGCTCGGTTTTCTTTTCTTGTAAGGTTTCCCTGCTCGACTCCAGTCTTGACAATTGCGAGTGAACAGCTATAAATTTCTCATGAAAGTCCTTCTCTCGGTCAGCACTTCCTCTCAAGGCCACCTCTGTTTCTGTTAGCTTTCTCTTTGTAACTGCCAATTCCTCTTCGAGAAACCTACGTTCCTCGTCAGAACCGAACGGGTTGCTTTCCAACGTCTCGATCCTCTGCACAGCAATGTTGTAAGATTCCTCCACTTCCTTCCTTTTTGACATCAAGTTATCATGATCAGTATCTTTCCGTCGGAGGGTTCTCTTCGTGTCTTCGAGTTCTTCTTCTATGATTGTTTTCCTTTGCTTCAAATCCTCAAGCTGCCTGTTCTTGCTTTCTATATCTGCAGTGAGAGTGTCGATAGTGGCCTTCAGAGAGGAAATCTCACTTTCCAAGGTAACAGTTTCATCACGGTATCGAGCGGAGGATTCTTTCCAGTCCTCTAACTTATCCTTGAGGGAATCTTTTTCTCTGTTAGAATCAGCCAACTGTTGCTCAAGATTTGAAATTTTGACAACTGATGTGCGCGTTTCCTCTTGAACACGATCTCGCTCGTAAGCTGTTTTCTGCGTGCGTCCTTCTGCTTCTTGAACGCCATCTTGCAGTCTTAAAATTTCTTTTTGCAGACGTTCTTGTTCTTGCTTTAGCCTTTGACAATCCTCACGGCTGATGTTTAAACTTGCTTTGAGTGATTGCACCTGCTCCTCTAAATACTTTTTACTTGCTTTCAGTTGATCTATGTGGTCCTCGTTCTGGGCGATATCCTTGTTTAGAAGATCAACGGCAAGCTTTTGCTCGATGAGCTGTTGTTCAACTTTAAGAACCTCTTCGCGGTTGACTGCTGACCTGTTAATAGCGTCCTCCAGTTGTCCTTGTAGGGAGAGTTTCTCTCGATATTCATGTTCAAACTTCACCTCCAAGTCAGACAATTTTCCACTGGTGGCCATGAGTTCTTCTTTCAAGGCTCTCTTCTCGCGGTCTGCCCGGTTTCTGCCCTCATCTGCATCGTGTATTTTTCTGTTCAATATGTTGATCTCGTGTTGAAGCTCGATGCCTTGCTGTTGAACTCGCTTGAATTCTCCTTCTGCCTTGTTCACTTTTGCTTTCTGCAACTGCAGCTCTTGCTTTAAAGAGTTCTCTCGATCTTGACTTTGCGTTAACATGGCTTCTAGCTCGTGATAATTATCCTCACTTGGTACTACACTCTTGTCTCTGTCTTCCTTTTCTCGCTCTAAAGCTGATAGGGTGACCTCCATTTTAGAAATTTCGATGTTTGAGTTTTGGATCTGTTCTGTTAGATTCACCACATTGTCTTCCAGATTTTCGTTCTTCCATTTGTAGGTCTCAAGGTCTTTCTTGACTTGTAGCAACTCGTTTTCTAGTCCTGCCTTTGATGACTTCAATCTCTCAAGAGTGTTTTCTTTGTCGCGAAGATCCTTTCTGAAGCCCTCTATCATTCTTTCTTTTTCGCGGACCTGGTTTTGCATGCTTAGCATATCCTCTTTCACCTTTCTGTTGCTTGCAAGCTGCTTTTCGTACTCGTTCTTGAAATGGTCCCTATCTTTAGTGGTGTTGATCAGCTGCGTCTCAATTGAAGTGATCTTGAACGTATAGGTGCTTATCTCTTGCTCCAAAGTGCCGCGCCCATCTCGATAGGTATTCACATCCTTCTCTAAATTATTGATACGGTCTTGAGCTAGGCCCAGTCTTCGTTCCAAGTCTTTCTTCTCAGCATCTAATCCTTCACATGTGACTCTGGCAGTAATCAGATCTTGTTTAGTGGTATCAAAATCCCTCTCAAGTTGTCTAAGCTCGTTGTTCAGTTCTTCAATACCTTTGTCCTTCTTTCCGACCACCCTGTTCATAGTCTCGTTAATCTTCCTGTTCTCTAGCACCTGACTTTCAAGAATCATTATTTGTTCTTGGGACTGAAGTAATTTGTTGTTCACATCGTCCAGCTGATCTTTTAATTGCAACTTCTGCCGTTGTAGAATTTCAGCCTGGGACTCTAGCTTATTTGCGCGACTCCTTGAACTGAATAGATCTTCTTCAGCCTTATCTTTAAGCCTCAAAGCAGTGTCTACTTCGTTGTTCATCTCTTTCAACTTCTGATCAAAAGATGTCACTCTGTGAGTCATGTCAGCGTTCTCCTGAGTCAATCTTTCGATGTCTTGGTTCTGTACCGATATCCTTCCTTCTACCTCATCTAGTTCCTCTTCAAGTTCTTCTTTGTCTTTATTTGACGCTTGTAATTCTGCCTCTGCTTCTGCAATTTTCTTGCGATATGCGTACAACTCTCTCTCTAACTCTCCGTTTCTGTTGCGCTCAATCTCCAGTTCACGCCTTGCATTCTTGTCAACATCTTTCTTGTACGTTGTTTCCAGAGTATTTATCTTCTTTACCACAATGCTATGGTCGACTTCCAGTTGGTCGCTTTTCCTTTTAGTGGACTCGTACAAGGACGTCACCCTTGAGAGCTCCTCGCTAAGCGCGGCGACTTGTTCCTGAAGTCTTCTCTTGTCACTTTCAATTTCATCCACGAGAGACTTGTTGTAATTAAGTTCGCCTTTAAGATCATCATAGTCTTTCGTCAGAAAGAGATTTTGCTCACGTAATTGCTCAATGGTAGATTCTTTATCGGCTCCTTCACGTCGGTAGTCATCCATGATGCTTTGCACCTCTACTAATTGCGTCTTCACAATATCTACCTCCTCAACATTCTTACGATCGTTTCCGGTGTAGTTTTCAAGCTCAGCCTCCAGCCATTTGTTCGCTTTAAGGGCCTCTGCCAGATCAGCTTCCAAGCGTTCGACTTTCTTGGTGAGCATCAGTACTTGCTGATGGTTGTCCATTCTTTCCTGATCGCAGATCTTGTAAGACGCTTGAAGCTCAGACGACTTTTTGTAATATTCCTGAAGTTCATCGTTCAAGCGATCTTTATCTTCGTTGGCGAGAGCCAAATCTGCTTCGACCTCACGAAGGGCTTTCTGAATCTGAAGATTTTCTCCATGCAGACTTTTTTTCTCGTCTTCTAAGATTTCCATACGCGTTTGGAGCTTATTAATTTCCTCGTATAGTGGCTCGCTCTTTCCTTCCATGGCTGCTATGTTAGCTCTGAGATCATCAATTGTACGGTCTTTAGAAGCTGCGTCTCGCTTGAACCATTCTGAAGTGCGTTGATACTCAGCGGCACTTGCTTGGGCTGTGACCAGATCTTTCCGGAGCTTGGCAATTTTGCTCTTTTCTTCGTCAAGCTCGGACTTCAACTGCACTTTGCTCTTGCTTATTGTGTCCAACTGACTTCCAAGTTTCGACAGGTGTGTCTTCATTCCCGCGGTAGATACCTCAAGTTCTTCGTTCTCTTGCTCGTTCCTCTGCAATGATGCTTTTAACTCGGAAATTCTGCGCTCAGAGTGCCCCAACTGACTCTTCAAGTCTTCGTTCTCCTGACCTAGCAGATCCACTTGAGATTCTAAGTCTGCTACTCTCTCATTCGCACGCTCACACCTATTCTGAAGTTCTTGTGTCTCTACCATCGACTCTTGATAGTTTGCCTCTAGCTGGTTATTCTTGGTTTGAAGTGAAAACAAATTAGTTTCCAAGTCACCAATGCGAAGACGAAGACGATTGACGTGTTGTTCGTTTTCACTGGCTTTTTCATTGGCCTTTTCACAGTTGTTCTCCAAAGTAGGGATGCGTGCCTTGACCAAAGCCAGCTCTTTCTCCATCTCGTCTCGCTGTGCTGACAACCCTTCGTTAGCTTCGACCAAATCGTTTATTTTCCACTCGGCTTCCTGCAGATCTCGCTCAAGCACCTCTTTCTGTCTGTCATAGATGTCAGAGGAGAGTTGATTCTTCGTGAAATCTTGCTTTAGTGCTTCAAGCTTTCCCTGCAGGGCCTTATTGGAATTATCCAATTTTTGCAGCTGGTTATTCTTGGCGTTTAGCTCCTCACGATACATGTCGGCCTTCTTTTGACTCTCCAGGAAATCTCGCTGAAGGAGTTTGTATGCTTCTTTTCCTTTCTTGTAGTCCTCTCGCAAATTCTCTAATTGGTTCTTAAAATTATCTTTCTGTCTGACAGAATTTTGCATCTGCGCTTCCAGTTTCGACGCCTTCATGGAGTTGATTTTTGCTTCCTTCTGCAGTTCCCTCTGGTTTTTGTCATAATCCGCTTGAATGTCATTCAGCTTACTCTGAAGAGCTAACATTTCCTCCTGTAAATCTTCCTTTTCCTTATGAACAAACTTGTAGCTTGTCTCCCACTCTGTAATCTCCTGTCGGACAGCCACGAGTTCTTCGCTGTCTTCCTTTCTTCCGCCAGGAGATGGTACGAGCGCCTGACTGGAGGAGAGCTCGCGCCTAAGCTCATCATTTTCTTTTTCAAGGGCTGTTTTCTCCTCTCTAAGTTTGCGGATCAGTTCTTTCTGTGTGTCGAAGTCTTTCTTCAAGGCGTCATATTCCCACTCTTTCTCGGTTAGTTTTCGCTGCACTCGGATTAACTCGTCCTGATGCTTTTTCGCATCCACGCGTGAATCTTTCAGCTGCTCTTGTAAATGAGCTTTCTGCTTTTGAAGATTTTCGATTTGCGAACGTAACTTATCCACCTACAAAGGAAGAGATTTCTTCATTTTCTTAATGTTTTTATTTTCTTTTTGCTTTGTTTCCGCATGACTCGAACCTTATTATTATGCGAATGAAAAATATTTGCATAGCGAACCGATTATGTTCTTGAATTGTTTTACAATGGAGTCATTTTACGCTTTAATTTTACGGTTCTAACAGACAACGAACAAAGTTGAAAGTAATTCACGTACATCGAGACCAATAAAATGTTAGTTATAAAGCAAGTTCTGAGCAAAAAGCCGCTCTACATTCAGTTGTCTAGGGTTTGCTCGACGGCGGTTGCCGTACGGCTAATTAGTTTAAACCTCTCGAAGTGCCAAGTTTCAATGCCACAATATTTAATCAAACTCAACACCGTAGAAAACTGGGTCAGGATCATGTACTGTACAGATTTTTTGTAAATGTAACGCGCTTATCAATAAAAGTTAGTCTGTGGTAGCGCAAGTTACAGAATGAGAAATCGTTGTTTTTTTTTTTTAGATCTCTACAAACAGTAGGTGGTGTAAGTTTGAGAGGCGCGTCTATGCAAATGAACGCAATCTACGATAACGTCAATTGCAGGTATAACAAATAACTAAAAGCTACAAATAAACCAAAGCAATACCTCATTTCGGTGCTCTTCCTTTACGTTCTCTAACTCTAGTTTGAACTTCCGATAGGCCGTTTCCAAGTCGCTAAAGGTTTCTCTGGCGGTTGCTAGCTGTTTCATGGTGACATCTTCACCAATAACTGCTAAACTTTCGCTGTTCGCGCTATAGGAAGACGACACAGAGCTGTACGTTTCTACCGTAGACATCGTCCGTCTTGTCTCACTCGTGACAGTTCGATTCTCCATTTTTTCTTTGTTTACCAGGGGCGAAAGTTCACGAGCGCAAGCTCTCACTTTAAGTGAACCCGCCCTGACGAGGTTGCGAAATTAAGATTGTGTGCGTATTCCCGTCGAAGAACTGATTTTATTTCACAAACTTTACGTCCCTTGAGGTCTACCGGTTGAATTACCAGCTGTTAAAATTTTGATGAAGAGCCAATCAGATTTGCCCATGCTGCCATTGTTCAATAGCGTTTCGGGTAGTTTTTGTGTTGCCGAAAAAAAAGCGACCCTCCCACGGAATAACAACGCCAAGAGTCTTGAATTCGTCACAATGGGTAGTTTTGACCGCCGGGGTTTGCTCATGAAATATAAACGATGTATACAAATATCTGACGGACGTATTTGTGGGATTTAAGAAACAGTTTTTGCGGTTTAAAAGCCAAAAGAATTTTGGCGAACTACCGGACATGTTTGAGTTGCGACTAAAGCTTGTTTTCGTTAAGTACATTTTCATTACAATAATCTCCTGTAGGGACATTTTAACGAGTCGCCACGCAAAGACAACACTGAAAACTTTAGAGAAAATTGTGCAATATAGGAAGTCTTGCGATCTGCATGATACTAGTACATCATGTGGTTTCAATTCTATAGCTTTAGTTGCTCCTGTCAGTTCATGCAGCGGGAAGTATGACGAGTTAAAGTTATGAGTGACGTGAACTAATTATGAATAAAACAAGTTCTTTAGGAGGCCTCTTCTGATATTTGTGTTGATACGTAACGACACTGGTAGAGGATTTAAAACTAAGCCATATAGCCAAATTACGAAAAAGATATTATTATTGTGCTTTGTAATATGTCACGAGAACCTCAACTGAAGTACTTGTGTTTATTTTTTCAGCACTATGTGCAAGTGTGTTTGACCCTAAGTTTGAACAAATAAGTATTACAATTATTGATTCTACTTATTTAAAACAATGCTCTTGTGTTAAAATTGGTCAATAAGAAATGAGTTTTTCATTCCAGCGATTAAAGAACGATCTTTTCTCCTAATGAGCAATTTGGCGCCAATTTTTCGTTGACCTAAGACCTGTCGCGTTTATAGCAAAGTTTAGTAGCTATTAAACACGTGAAACCTGAAGTTTATCACATTTACAACCTAATTTGAAAGCAAGCAGAAGAGACTTACCAGCTTACTAAGGAATGTAAACAATGATATACATTCGTTTCGTTAATTTACTCAACAATTGGCACCGTGTTTGTTAAGAGTCTACCGCGCAATCCCAGCTTTGTGGCAAATTGTACCCACTGTCTCATTTCATGTGACTACTTCTGTTAATTTTGAATTGTTTTTCTGGCTTTCCAGTTACTTAATAAGGTAAATAAAATCTGAACGATCGCACGATCTTCCATAAATCGTCAAAAGCCTTAGCATAGTTGGAAATAAAAGAATCACTATGAATCAACGCGAATTGTTTTAAAAGGTGTCAATGTTGCCCCTTTTAAAAGTCCCGTTAGGAATTTGCTTACGGAAAAGTTACTTAAGTTCTTAGAGCAGAATCGAAATTTTCTCCAGTGATACAGCTGGTGGCTTTTACAGCAGTCGACATCATCAGTGTTTTCTAGATCTTTGTCGCCTCTCCGCCTATCTGTACGTTAAGCGCAAGAGAAATATCCAATGTCATTTTTGTTTATCTCGAAGCGCTCGCGCATCTAAAAATAACAATTATGACAAAAACAGGAGTCATTGTTGTTTTTTAGTGCATTGTTTTATTCAATCAGTACATTGATCGTTTCTCAAATTCCGAGACTTACGATGCATGCTAAAGTTTTTGTCTGTGTAATATTAACAGAGAAATAACCTTAATAATTTTCAGTGTTTTTCCTTTCAGCGGACTTGCACAGGCCCCTCGCCAAGCGCGGAAACTTGTTGTGAATTGTTCTCTTCTTTTTTTCAATTTCGTTAACAAGAGACTTCTTGTACTCAAGCTCGCCTTTTAGATCATTATAGTCTCTCGTCAGAAAGAGATTTTGCTCACGTAATTGCTCAATGGTATATTCTTGATCGGCTCCTTCACGTCGGTAGTCATGCATGATACTTTGCCCCTCTACTAATTGTGTCTTCACAATATCTACCTCCTCAACATTCTTACGATCGTTTCCGGTGTAGTTTTCAAGCTCAGCCTCCAGCCATTTGTTCTCTGTAAGGGCCTCTGCCAGATCAGCTTCCCAGCGTTCGACTTTCTTGGTGAGCATCAGTACTTGCTGATGGTTGTCCATTCTTTCCTGATCGCAGATCTTGTAAGAGGCTTGAAGCTCAGACGACTTCTTGTAATATTCCTGAAGTTCATCGTTCAAGCGATCTTTATCTTCGTTGGCGAGAGCCAAATCTGCTTCGACCTCACGAAGAGCTTTCTGAATCTGAAGATTTTCTCCATGCAGACCTCCTTCTCGTCCTCTGAGGGAGGGGTCGGGGGGACCGGGGGCCCCCCTTGTTTTGGGTAAAAAAAAATTGCAGAAGGAAGAAAAGCCGGCGGGGCAAACGACAAATAACGCCCCCTCCCCCCCTTCAGTTCAAGGTCTGGACCCGCCACTGATTTGGAGCTTATTAATCTCCTCGTACAGTGGTTCGCTCTTTCCTTCCATGGCTGCTATGTTAGCTCTGAGATCGTCAATTGTACGATCTTTAGGAGCTGCGTCTCGTTTGAACCATTCTGAAGTACGCAGAAACTCAGGGGCACTTGTTACGTTTTCATTTTTACTTGAGCATACTTTCACCTGAGCATAGATGTTAATAAAAGAATCACCACGAATCATCGCGAATAAACCTCTTTTAGCTGGTATATTTTGTTTGCCCAGTTGAGGCTTCAAGGGAATTCTAAGCGTTCATAAGCGTACTTGTGCACGAGGGTATGCACCTGAATATGCACGTTTGAAAGAAGAAGAAGAAAGAAGAAAATTGACCGTATTTCCTAAAATAAGCTTAATATTTTGGCTTAAAGGGAGGGGAGGGGGAGCGTTTGTCATTCTCCTGTGTCGATTCCGTTTTTCGTCTCGTCATTAGCGTAGGACAAAGAAAAAAATTTTGATTCTCCGAGGTTCGATTCCTTATATTCCTTATATGGACCCAATTTTTTTTCTTTGCCCCAAGCTCGTAACAAGACGAAAAACACATGTTCCTCTAAATGTAATCAACCTGACCCTAGTTATGTGGCCGACAATTCGATGACGTTTATATCTCCTGAGTGATCATAAGTCAGGGGCCCATTACTAATGGGCTCCTGTCATAGCAAATAGGGGCGAAGGAGATTGGAACTTCGTTATATTTGGGAAGGTAGCGCTATAGAGTTTTATAGTTTGCATAAAAGTTGAAGCTAGGACTTCGTGCACTTTAATATGGTTTCTTCCTGAAAAGAGATGTAGCAATTGTTATCGCACAAGTGTCATCACAGATCACACCTTCAGTTTCCACACTCTCGCGAACAAATCCTAGTCGCAGCCTTTTAGGTCCGGTCATTATTTGTCACCTGGGATGAAGTGGAGAGGGTTGGAGGATTTTTGTCACAATAAAATTTACCTGAATCTCCTCCTAGGGCTGGTCCCTCGTTGGCAGTCAATTCTTTAGTTCCCCTTTTATACTCTGTTACTGACAGCAGATCCTCCCTCCGCTCCCCTGTATACCATGTGATCCTCCATCCCCCCCCCTCCCCCAGATGATAAACTGTGACTGTTCCCTCAGGCTTTGCATACTATCTTTCGGGAAAAAGAAGCGAATACAGAGTTAACGGATAATGATATGCACAAAGTGCACAAAACCACCACTCCTCTTTTCCAGTTTGCATAGTTATTCGTTTTTAGCGACAATTTGAATCTCGCCTCAGGAAAGTGCATGCCATACATTTGTACTGCCTCAGTATTTTGTGCAATGTTTAAAAAAGTTATTTCAGATTTTTTTTTAAGTAACAATTTTTTTACGCGTTGTAGAAGAAAACACAAGAATGCCCAGCCATTGCTCACTTAATTTGAATCGGACGATTTTGGGGGGCATCACATGATTTTCTGGGGGAAGGAGGGAGGGAGGACCAGTCGTTATCAACAGAGTATAAAGGGGAGCTATGGAAAATTGACTGCCAATAAGGGGGGGGGTTGGGGGTCACAAAAAATATTACAGAGCCTTATGGGGTAAATGTTTTAGTGTCACAACCAAAATCATTCCAACTCCCCTCCTCTCCAAATCGCTCGAACTTCCCCCCCCCCCCCCCCCCCCTCCCAGATAACTATCAATCCCTTTATTCATGAGAACACAAATACTTTTTTAATGAACTTTTATTTTTCCTCTTGTTTTGGGGGAGGAGCGAGCAAAGGTTGGGGAAAATAGTTTTAGGATAAAAAGTTTAAGGCGATCCGTTATAAATTCTCTCTTCTGTTAAATAGTTTTAATCACCTTTCTTAGAATAAATAATTTATTTCCTATAAATGCTATGCAAATAACACCGCTTACAGAGATCGATTAAGACTCGCTGTCAGCTGCCTGTGTTTACAATAGTGGCGATCAGTTTTACCTTGGTGTAGACTCCATTCTTATTCACTGGGAAAATGAAGGAGCAGGAAAAAGTGAGTATTACATTTTTTAATTGATTCAAAGAAATAACCTATGATTATTTGTTTAAATTAAACCAATTCCGTATCAGTCAGGCCACGAAAACATCAATGTTATTGTATGGTGTCCTTGGAAACAAATTATGTCCTACAATTTTCCAAAAATGTACGTTTTACAAAGCATGTCTCGAAGAAGAAAATCCTGTGTTGGATCGCATTGAAGGCTAAAATCGCTAAAGAAGGGCAGCTTGTACATGGCAACTTTAACGCAAAATTTCCCAAATAATAAGATTTGTTTTATAATGTGTTTATCAGTGTAAACTTGCATCTCATGTAAACATAACTGATTTTAGATTTGTTAACGTTTCAAGGAACAGATATTGGCTGCGAAGCAAAGCAGAACTAAGTCAGAAAAACCTTCTTTAAACATAATCAGTTGATCAAATATTCACGAACAATAAAAGAAATGTACGTCTAGTGTCATTTAGTCTTCATGGAGTAATTCGTACCGAGTTTTCCTCTGTTCGGGTTCATTGCGAAATATGTCTACTTAACATTATACTGCAGTCTAGGGTATCACTGTATGAAAGATCAGAAGCGTTAATAATATGTCTTAGGACCTTAAAATAAAAAATATTTCACCGTGACTGTGGAGATAATCGTGAACAAAAACATCGGACCTCTCTAAAACGAAATAAGGCCTGTGTATGTAGTATCGAAAAGTCTGTTTACTCCAACCTGAAAAAAAAGTAATGATTTAATTGATTTTTTAAGTCTCAGTATCAAATTGCAACAACTTTTAAAGCTTTGAAATTTAATCAAGGTCTCTTAGAAATGGAAAAAGCGTCAAACACTGAAAATTTTGACAGCGCTAGAGTTAATAAGCAATGTTGTGATATACAGGATTTTCCGGCCCGTACGCCAGGCACCTGCCAATCATGAATGATTTACGACACTTCGATTAGATTTGATTGGTGGAAAAGAAGGCAATATTTCCAAGCCGCCTTTCTGTAGCCGAATGAAAACCTGGCTATAAAAAGCTTAGGGCTTTGAGATATACCTTGTGAGTTCGAGATGTTAATATTGCACATCAACAATAGTACATCAATTGATTTTCACTGATAACTACCTGTATCTATATGAAATATCGCGTTAAAAAATGTAGATGACATGTTTTTCCTTATTAATTCATGATGAAAGAGATTCAGTTGACTTCCGATTCTGAATTCGACTGACGACAAATTATAATAACCTCTTGGTTTCCTACTAACGCGAAATGGACTCTGTTTTCCTCTTGTACTCTCTCAATGTAAGTTCATTCTTTATTATTCAAACCTGTTTTGATCTTTCTTCCTGGTAGGGGTTTGTACCGCTGGCCCCGGTTGTTCGAGGGTTGAATAACGCTGTCCACTGGATAAATCGTTGTACGGTGGACAACGCTATACGTTTTGCAATCACTTATCCGCCGGACAGCGATTTATCCGTTGGATAGCGTTATCCAAACTTTATACAACTGGGCCCTGGAAATTAACTGTATTACAACTTATATACAAGTTCGAACTGATTTCTCTCTGCCATTTACTCATCTGGAATGATTCCAATTGCAAAAATACATCCTTTCTCTTCTACAGCCACTCAAATTGAGGTTATTCACTAAAATAAACTACAATCGTTTTTTTTTTCTGGTCTGTTTCCATAAAGATACAATAAAACTGTCATGCAAAGTGATATTTTTCGCTCTTAGGCAATTCCAGATGGAGATTTTCCGACAAAACTTTGACAGTTTCTGTCGTATTCTGTTTGCACAAATGCGACGATTTCCTTGACAATTTTCATTCAGATTTACTTTAGAATTTTAAAATATTCTCAAAGAAATATTTTTCTTTTGTTAACCCTAAAATTTTTGCAGGCTTTTACATGCCAGGTTACAATATTTGTTCAACACTCATCGGTAATTGGACAGCGATCAGCACTCTAAGCTCGGATTGTTTGCTCTGGCTTTAAGAAAACAATATTCGTGTCAAAAGCAAGCCGCTGCAAAGTGTTCCTTTTATACTTTCCTTTGATTTGAAGGTGTCATTTGACAATTGACGGCAAACGAAGAGTTTTTTATTTAGTCTTTCCGCGGAGACTTAACATGTTTACCCGAAAAAAGGATAGCTCATCAGGTTTTGATTAAAAACAGTGAAAATAATTCAACGTTTCATTGTAAATCGATGTTACTTTATTGGAAATCAATTCAATCTCTTCATTGCAACGATATCAAGAAGCTTGATAGATTTAAGGATGATATTTCAGTAACCAACAACATGGCGGAGACAAAAAAGCTGTGGATAAAGCTGATGAAGGTAACGAGGAAACCTTTATTACAATTTTTTTGGCGTCCATCTATTTGAGATTTTTTTCCGGCAGTTTTTGAATAATGCGAATTTTCATTTAACTAGGTGTTCTTGCGTAACATCTGTTTAGAAAAGAAAACGAACTTTTATGGCTGTTTTCTGTTCCTACTTAATTTAGATTTTGTTAGTTTGATTTTGGTACTTAGGATAACATGGCCTTGTTTTGAAACTAAATATATTATGCGTATGAATTTTCACTTATTTTTCAAGATTAGAGTTTATAATTAAAATTGCAAACTGACAATATATTATCCAAGCTTCTTTTCACCAGAGAATGCGCCAACATTTTAACAGCTAAGTAATTTTCCACAAGATTTGAATAAAATTAAAGGAAGAAAATTTCGAAAATTTTTGGCTCGCTAGCTAACACAACGAGAGTTTTTTACAAAGAGTAGGTTGAAGACTAGAAGTTTAACAGGATTTGGTGTTCCCCTTTTAGACTTCACGACGGAAAAATCACAAAAAGGTAAGCAGGACATCTTTCAGGTAATCGAATTATTTTAACTCGGCCATGCAAAATTTCCATTTAAATTCTACTTCATATAGTTTTTTTCCGCCTCATCCCTTTGGTGAAAATGAAAATGTTTGTCACATTTATCTCGGTGATGATGTACTCTCATACGACGGCAAGAACAACCCCTTTTTTTTCTTATTTACTCAATATCAGTATTATTATTTTTATCTTTTTCCGACGGCAGTTATATTCCTAAAAGGCCGACTTGCCATAATACGAGCGCATGTTAGTAGTCAAAAATTGTTCCCAGCCTCTGTTTCATTTTGCTCTCCCCTTTTGATGAGCAGAGATAGGCACTGGATACTAGTCTTCTACCCTTGTGATTATGACGGAAAACGAAGTGTTAATTTGAATCATTTTAGCTAACTGAATTAACTCAGCTAATTGAATTAGAATAAGACCTTTGAAAAACTGGTTAACCATGGTCAAGAGACCCTAAAGAAATACAATACGGTTACACGCTCGTGACCGAAGACAATAAAAATTGGTGAACTTAAAGCGGATCCAAAATGATGAGTATGAGAATTTTAAGCTAATTTCAATTTTACAAGATGGAGAAACTATCATGGAGGTACTGAAACAGATCTAAACCAAAATGGCACACAATCCTTATCGCAACAGTAGGAACGTACTTGTGGTTTGTTATTGTTACCACAAGTCGAAGGAACGTGAACAGAGTCGATTTGCTGGAAGCATCCAAATGTGCCTCCACGATAGAAATTCGACAGCTACTAGTCATTTCCCGACAATTTTGAAAATTTGGGAAGAGTATTAAAACACACTACAAGATTATACCTTAAAACCTTGTTCCACATCTGACCAACAGACTACCTTGGTCACGTTTTTTTTCTTTCTGAAGTGCTGACATCTAGGCCGAAGTTGTTGCGTCCTTTTTTTTTAATTTTTAGCGAAAACAAGTAGGTATTGATTGCGGTCATCAACAATCTCTTGACGGTGACAAAAGCTTGAGGTTAAAAGGCCAGAGGAATTTCAGCGCGAGACGTTTGGCCTTCATTATGCCATGTCCGGCATCATCACTGAAATTTTTACACCACGGAATTTCAGAACTAGCTCAGCAAGGGTAAGATAACAAAGGTTGTGTAAATGCTTGAACTTGAAACGAAAAATCTTTTTAACCTATAACTTAACAGAGAAGTAATCGTCTCGCTCTGCAAAGGAAGCTTTTGGTATTGCTGATCTCTGCAGTATGTAACATGAACCTTATAACGGCTTCACTCGCTGACGAATATTGTTTGTCTCACTCTGCCACTAAGTTAGCGGAACAGCCGTCTGAGAAATGAGAACTAGCTGAATTTGAGCCCTATTCACGTCACTGAGACTTTGTTTCTTTGTCTTACGCTGATGACATTTGTTTAGCTTCATGATTTGTCAAATTACGTATTTGAAAATGTGAATGTTTGTGTCCGAGAAAGTTTCGCGTGAGGGTCCAATTTTGAAACGTTCCCTTTACCTCAAGCCGAATTAAACTTGGGGTTGGCGATTTTAAGTTTTAGCTTTCCTTTCGCGAAAAAGTAGTTTTCACCGAAATCATGGCATGGTCGACAGTACGCCCGTAAAATTATGTGGAATCTTTAATTTGTAAACATGTGTTCTTTCACGTATTTCCTGAAAGGATGAAATTGCAGCTCTTAATCTGCCCACAGTAGTACGAGTTATACTTTAATTACATATCTGTGTTTATTTAGGGTACATCTAAATTAATTTCTTTGTAGCATTGGACCAATTTTCTGATTAACAATATTTTTCTAGGGTCGTTGCTGGGGCACTTAGCGGCGGTTTGCTTTCAAAACAACTGATACTACTTCGAAATAACTTTTAGAAATAACACAACAGAGTAAAAATTTACATTCATCTGTTTCTCCAATAAGAAACCACAGTTCATGTTCAGATATTTGCTCGAAAAACCAGTTTATTTAAACATGAAGATATAATACTATTCATGCAAGAAAAAGAAAAAGAAAAACATCTGCTGTTTCGGTAAGCGTCTGTCAGTAGTTTCTATTTGACTAATTTTTCCTTTATCTCCCTTTAATCCGGCTCATGACAAGCGCACGTTTGAACTTCTCGGCCTTTTGCCCTTCTCTCACATTCCTGCTTCTCGAATTTCGACGCGATTGTGAAACGGTATGGAGAGGCTTTGTTTGGCTCACGTTTCCGTCACAATACTCGAGATACAATTTAGACAGTAATGCTAGACTTTGCCAAAACGAGAGCGTTTTAAAAGCGCCAGAGTGAATTCTAAAGAATTCCTTCGACAGGATATTATGGTTCGATGTTGGCTACTCATAAGACTGTCCTCGTAGGGGAATTTTTCCGTGACCGAAATTTGGAAATGATAGACATGCGGTCGTCAAGAGCGAAGAATAAACGTCCGTTTTTTAGCATTTTTCCGCGCATAAAAATTGGAAAGAAGTCAAAACGATGGACTGAAGAGGTTTATGTTTTTCCACAGAGCCGGGCAGTGTCAGAGACTAATTTGCTGATCCACCTTAACCGAATTTTGGATTCCTACGATGAAGACGCGAAAGTCGACTCGGTGATAGCGGAAAACGCCACGTTGAAGACTGCCAAGAAGATCCATCGCCTCGACAGGAAGGACAGACACCAAGATGTACAAGACGCTTGTCAAATACACGATTTATCTCTCAAGGAATCATTCCTTAAAAGTTGCGAACAACTTGGAATTCCTCCCTTAGCAATGACTTACTTTCTCGACAAAGTCGCGGCCGGCGAAACGGAGCTGATCATGAGAAATCTTGGGCTGGGTCCCACGGGTGCTATTGCTGTCGCGGACGCCTTGTCACGCAATAGGAGTGTCACGCGACTAGACTTGTCACTCAATAACGTTCAGAATAAAGGAGCTACGGCTGTTGCAAAATTACTCGAGGCAAACAGTCTTATAACTTATCTGAATCTTTCAGAGAATAAGATAAGTAAAGATGGAACAGACGCTCTTGGAAACATGCTGACTGTGAATGATTCTTTGGCGAGAATTGACATTTCGCGCAATGGACTAAGTGATGATGATATTCATTTTTTTAGTAACGTTTTACAAACTGAAGACTTTTTATCTGCGCTAGACCTTAGTCATAATTCTTTTGGAGTCACCGGAGGAGAGCACTTTGGGGAAATGATCGCGAAAAACGTGTCCCTGCGCGAGTTGAACTTGGGATGGAATCGCCTGGGCGACCTCGGAGTCAAACAAATCTGCGTGGGCTTGAAGAAAAATCGAACGCTTGAGAAACTGGATTTGTGCTGGAACGAGATTGGCCATGAAGGCGCGAGATACATCGCGGAATCTTTGGAATACAATGGCAAAATTATTGAGTTAAATCTCAATAACAATCGTATCACCGACCGCGGAATGGAGAAAATTGCAAGGGGTCTGGAACTTAATGATACTCTACAAGTCGTCAAAATTGGTTACAATCTGGTCACTTCAGATGGAGCATGTGCACTGCTGCGGTCACTGCTGAAAAACCCTGGTAGTGCAGTAGAAACTGTTCACATGGCTGAAGTGGAAATAAATGGCGCTATTAAAGAACTCTACTTAAAGCTTAAATCGAGAAAATCACGATTTCGCCTTCTTGATTTATTTACAGCCAGTGGGGATGTGTATCACTTTGTTCAACCACAAAATCCAATGATTGTACTGGATGCCTATTTAAAACGAAACAGACTGACGGCGTACAAGTGTAACAGCCTTGAAGAGGAAGAAGGAGAAGACTAAAACATTTTTGTGAAGAAACACACAACAGAGAAACAAAAATAACTTCAACCTTGCCTACAGGGGTTGTAAATTACAGTTTACCGTGGACCTCAGGGTCCGATGTTTATAAATCGCCTGCGGGGGGAGGAGTCGGGTCAGTTTTGTATGGTCCTCCCTTCTGTCCATTATACTCTGTCGGAGACAACTGATTCCCCCTCTCCGGTCCCCCTGAAAACCATGAGAC